AATGCTTACGAAATAGTTCCTTACGGAAAAAGCATTCCGGAATGTACAGTTACGAAAAAGACGCAAAAGATTTTATGTTACAATATATTTAAGATATTAACTGTTAACAGTTTAAATAACAAATAATAAAATTATAAAAAAAATGTTGTCAAATGATTCTTCAAATGTTTATACAAATATACCTAATATATATATATATATATATATATATATATATATATATATATATATATATATATATATATATATATATATATATATATATATATATATATATATATATGTATGTATATATATATATATATATGTATATATATATATATATATATATATATATATATATATATATATATATATATATGTATATATATATATGTATGTATATATATATATTTATATGTATATATATATATATGTATATATATATATATATATGTATATATATATATATATGTATATATATATATATATATATATATATATATATATATATATATATATATATATATGTATATATATATATATGTATATATATATACATACATATATATACAGTAAAATCCCATTAAGTTGGACTCTCAATAAACAGATAAACCGTATGCCTTTCTTTTTAAAAAGAATAAAGAGGATGTGTGATAAACAATTAAATACTTTATTATAAAGAACAAGAGATCTCTCTAAAGGTAAATTATATTAGAAAGGGTAAAAAGAGAAAAAATATGTCAAACAGCGGGATGTGAACCTAGGTCTCTGCGACCAAATGTCTTAACTAAATGAGCTTTACGTTCATTCAACTAAGTGAATAGAAATATTTATTTATTATATAATTAAGAAACTATATAAAACAGAAATTACAGAAAGAGATAGGTATGCAAGTAGGATTCTATATATCAGGAAAATGAATAGTAATGTGAACCTTTAGTTGCTTATAATTTATGTTTTGACTTGAAAACTATTTACTTTTAATGGAACACAATAGGCTGTAGGAGCCTCAAGGCAATTATATTCAGAAATGATTATATTAGACTCAGAGTTAGTTAGAAATTATTACAAAGTGTTTAGGACAGATATCTAGTACAAAACTCGCAAGATTTAAAGCAGAATGATTTATAATATTTGAAAAAGTTACTTTACGTACATTTCATCATAATTTAAGTAGAACTTAGTAAAGCAAGGGAAGCGTGTAGAATTAAGCACAATGAACTCAATCTTAAAAGAATAACTAACAGAAGAGAGTTTGTCACTATTATGAAGGTCACAAAAGATCTGTAATATAGAACATGAAGGTCGAAAAATGCTATCTTAAGTAAAAAGAGTTTGATGAACAAAAGTTGCAATGGCTGCAGGATGCGAACTCGGATCTCTGCGGCGAATTATCATGTATCTAACTGATTGAAATATACGATCTTATACTTAAATTTATATCTTATTAAAATTAAAAACAATATTTTCTAAGATCTATTTTTCGAAAAGCGTATTCAAACAGGACTCTACATACCTTTAAAATCTACTAGAACTTTAGTAACGTGCACACTTTTAGAAATTATTGAAATAGGTATATTTTATCAAAAATATGCTTAAGCTAAAGCATATTTTTGAGCCTCTTTTTACTATTTGCTTAGGCATATTCGAACCTGTTTCAAAAATTTCATATGCTTAAAAAAAAAAAAACATGTATATTCCTACCCATCATTCTTATTTTAACTATACGTAATGAGTTCAAAAAACATCGTTATATATATTTATTATGGCACATTTCGTAAGTTTATTTCCGTTAAAAATTCTTTCGTATGTTGTGATCCGAAATACTTTCGTTTTGAAAGAAATTTTATTTTTTATCATTATTTCTAAAAATAAAACCATAAAAATTTAATATATTATTATATTGAAAATAAAAATTCATAATAAACATTTTGGGATTTAAAGAATCAGTCTGGCAAACAAATTTTCTTTATAGACTTCAAAACGTTGTTTGGCGAAAATGTTTGTTTCGCAAGTACGACTTCCGAAACCGCTACTTTCGTATGTTGCAAAATAGCTTTGTTTCGTATGTCAACTTGCGAAATGCTAAATTTCAGAAGTGGCTTTTGCGAAATGAACATCGGCAATTTTATATGTTTTGTAACATTCGGTACGAAAAAATGTAATTCCTCGTTCTCAATCTCCTTACGAAAGAATGTTGTTTTTCCGGAATAGCACGAAATCCTCCGGTTAACAACCCTACTCTTGACTTAATTTAACTAAGTAAAATTTATAATAAATTAAGTATTTTTAGAATATTTTTTCCTGGGGCACCTATTAATTTCATAAACTGCAATATAACTTGTCTTATTAACTATTATTGAAATGGTTGCAAAAAGATATAGCGTGCTACTTTTTTTGTAGCTCACCATAGATACATCTTATTTATTACCATAGATACATCATATCTTTATCATGTGAGAGATTATGTAGGATACAAGTGTGATTAATGATAGCTATCCTATGTCTTAGGCCGGGTAAATATAAAAAAGCAATTGCTTTTACTCAGCATTTTTATAGTAATTACTTAACTCTACGTTAATTATAATTTGAGTAAAATCTTTCAAATTTTTATCTCTGTAAAGCTGAGTAATTACTCCAAAAACGCTGAGTAAAAGTATTTGCTTTTTTTTTATTTACCCGGCCTAATATTTGTTTGTTTACTCAGGAATTGTCCATAAAGTACGTACGCTTGGAGCAGAAGAGGGGCTCTGCAAATGGCATAAATGTGAGGGCAGTGGGTCAATTATAAAAAAAAGGAAACACTAAATTAAAAAAAAATATCCTAAAATGTTAGATAAATAGGTTAAAAAAGTAGGTACTTTTTGTTCGTGTGAAAGCGCATAGGACGTATTAAACCCAATAATAAAACGTGACTTATATTAGCATTATATATTTCGGTTTTTAGGTTAATCTCTGACTAAAATAAAACGTCTCTTTTATAAATTTGTACACGATTATTTATACCATATAATATTTCCCCAAGAGAGATATTATAGGTATTTTCTAACTTATAATGATCTATATACAAAATTTGCTAATTGCCTCATTAGCAAAGGAAATCTCTAATGTCAATATATGACGCTTAGAGAAGTTTATAATACAGCTATATTATTTACATTAAACTATTATTTACACTAATCGCCTCGTGAACACTTTTAGGGAGGTGGAGGATACTCAAAAAAGCGTATAACAAAATGTGGGGGAGGGGGGGGGTTGTGGACAAATAAAAAGCGTTTGTACTTAATGGACGACCCCTCAGGAATTAAAAATATTTATAATATTTTTAGTCCATAAGAAATAAAATGTTTATAATATTTTGATGAGAAGGTGCAGCACCAGGCACCTCCATGCTGACAAATATTGGACATATTATGCCTATATGCTATGCTTATACCTTTAGTGCATCAAATCGGCTTTTGAATGTGTCAGTTAAAAAAGGAGTTAACAAAGCTTGACAGTAAATCATTCCATGTGTTGACTACGCGGTTCGTAAAGAAATTTTCTCTTTTGACACAGTTCTTGACTAATGGCTTTGTAATTCTTAAGCTATTGCCACAAAGGTTATACTGGAAAATCGTTTGCGCTTAGACTTGAGGCACAACAAATTCGATTTTCTTAACACCATGCACAATCTTAAATTGCTGATTCAAAACATTTCTAACTTGTCTATCTTCAAATTTGGTTAGGCCTTGAATTGTAATCCTTTCTTCATATGATTTATGTTTAATGTCTTGGTGTCTCCCTTTAGATGTGGTGACCACGATTAGATGGCGAATTTGAGGTTTTGTCAACGTACGATTTGTAAAGGACTTTCCAAAGTATAAGACCTCTGCTTCTGAATGATATCTTAAGTTGACTAATTACCTGGTTTGCTCTTGCAGTCGTTGCTTCAACTTGATGCTTGACTTTCAAGTCTTGTGAAACAAGAACACCTAGATCTTGTATGACTGAAGTTGTACCCAGTTCTTGTCTTATTCCCATCTGATTTGTCATTGAGTAGACGTTGGCTGACTTGTTGGAGCAACCTACGTGCATGGATTGCATTTGTCCAGGTTGAAGATGCTTTTTGGACCTTTCTACTGCTTTGTTGAAGTCTAGCTGAGACATGCTTTGTCGTCCTCTGTTTTGATGACGCTGTATTTTGCTGTCGATGGCATACACCTTGATATTGTGAGCCATGTTGTCCAGTAGGTGATTTATGCAGAGGATAAAGAGCAATGGTTCTAGCACGGATCTCTGAGGTACTCCACCTCTTTCCATACAGATTCAGCTTTGCCAACAACAACCATTTGCTTTCGGTTAGCCAGCCAGTTTGATATCCACCTGAACAGTGATCCGCATAAACTGTAAGCTCTTAGTTTATGCAGAAGTCTTATGTGCTTTCGTAAAGTTAGTGTTTATCACGTCTATGGCATAGCCATGATGTACTGTGTCCGACAGAATGTCGCGACCTTCTAATAGATTAGACACACAGCCCCGTAAAAATACATGTTAAGCTTTTGTGAATAGACCATTGTTATACCAGTGCTTCATGGTTCTTTCATGAATGAAGTTCTCCGCTATCTTGTATGGTACTGATGTTAGTGATACCAGTCTCTAGTTTGTGCACTTTCTTATGCTACCAGTCTTGAAGATTGATGTTATAATTGACTGTTTTCATAGATTGGGTACTTTGCCTTTAGAGAGAGACTTGCAGTAGCTCATTAGTAATGGTACAGAGATTGCAGCAGCAAATTGCAAAGTACACAAGGGTGCATTCCCCCATACACTTTAGATTTTGTATCAATTGGCTTTTCAAGCTTTTGCTGTACAGCTTCATGCGTGATTGTGGCTTCATTTAAGTCACACTTTGCTTGCTTTTAATTTTTGAAATTTGGAATTTGATCTAGAGGCTCAACAGGGTTGCTACATAATGTTATTATGTCATATATTTTAGCGAAATTTTATGAATCTGAAGTTGAGCTATCAAAATACTCATTAGTTTAAAGTTCATGATATATATTTTTAATGTCACTGTGCAATTTATTTTTAAATTATTTTTAGGTTCTTTATATGCAGTTGGTGGTGGTCAACTTCAACAAGTTATAACATCAAGTGAAATAAGCACATTAGCTGCTGTTGCAGTTGATGGAAGCAGTCAAGATGGACCTCGTTATACATATTATCCTGCAGTTCAAACTAGTGATGCAAATCAACATGGTACTATTTTATTATTTGAGTCTACTTTTCTATATCTACTTTTTCAGTTAGTTAAAATAAAAATAAAGTAATAAAAGTAATAAATGTAAAGAAAGGTTTATTTAAGGTTAATAGATTTTCAAGAAGTTATTATTTTGATTAAATACTTAATTTTTATTTAAACTAAAAAGGTTTCACTAAACAAAGTCAATTTGATTCTGAAAAAATGTTAAAAAGAGTTTTCAAAAAATAAAAACTTCAGATAATTCGTTTGGTCAGCAAAAGTTAAACATTTAGATAAAATTTAACTTTTATTCAAATGTTTGCGCTTAATTATGTGCTTATAATTATGAAATGCCAAATAAAGATCTACAAAATAAAAGAAGTTTTATCATTGAATATCTAACAAATTCAAATCACAAAGATAATAAAATTGTCTAAAATATTTTTGTTTTTAGAGGTTCAGATAATATAACAGTTTTTTCTTTAATTGACCATTCAAATCTGGCTATTGTTATGATGCGGAAATATATACATTACTATTTCGAGTGCCATGGTTAAAAAATATATTTACTTTCCTCTGAGGTTAAAAAATATATTTACTGTCCTCTGATGGTTAAAAAATATATTTACTGTCCTCTGAAAAATATATTTACAGCATGAAATGTCAGTAATAGCATCATACTGAAAAATAGCTAGGCTGAGGCTTTGATAGGCCATCATTTGTCAGAAGTAATTATGTATATAGACATTTATTGCAGAAAAAAGAATTTTTTTTTTAATTATATTTTGGTTAAATCTAAGTTTAGTCAAACTACAAATGCAGTATCTATATTTGTTTTGTCAGGACAATTTTATGTGATGATGTCACCACAAGATGTTATTCCAGTCACTGGTGCTGGGCAGAGAATTATTGCTCCTAGATCACAAAACTTACCATCGTAAGTAAATTTTTATGTTTTACCTTCTTTTTTACAATTTTCTCTCAAGCCTTGAACTCCAAAATAAAAGCCTTGACAAACAAGCTTTACTGTTGACTGTTGTGTAGATTGCATGTTTCTACCAGGGTGTTCTACAAGTGAGGATTGAACTTGGAACTTGAAACTTTGCTTACAAAGCAAGAGCTTTCAAGCGAAATCCCCTACATCCCTGGTAGTACCATGCTTAACTTGTTTCTCTGCGCAGGGGCTTTGTTCATCAAGATTCGTGTTTCAGAGTTAAAGAGTTGATAGAGGGTTGTAACCACAATTAAGTAGCCTCCTCTACTGTAGTGGCCCTTTTGGCCTTAAGGACATAAATTACACTCTTTTTTTTTAAAAAAAAGTACTTTTTACGCTACATTAACCCATGTTTAATGTAGCGTAAAAATTTATAATATAAACCATGTGGCTTTAGTTTGCACGACATACACATATGTAAAAAAAATAGTTTGCTTTTTATTACAGTTATTGACATAATTTGTAGATTTTTTTTTTAAATATGTTGCATAAAGCTCACATAACTTTAAATATAATCCCTATATTAAATACTATTCAAAGTTCCACTTTGAATGCCTAAATGTGATAAATTTCCCTAAAGAGTTTTATAAGAAAAGTCTTAACTCTTCGCTACTAGCCAATTTATATTATAAATTGGCTGGTAGTGAGCATTTTAAAGAGTTCCCTTTTGTACTAGTGGTTTCAAAGAAAACTACACAAATTTCCGATTTTTGCTCAAATACAAAAATATAAAATCATACAGGGTTATTTTGTTTATCCCTCTTTTTCACTTGTCAGAATATAATGCAGCTAAGATGTTTTTTAGTTCCCTTTTAAATTTTTATAATTTTTAATCAGGATATTGTAAACTTAAATTTGTCTTCTAAATATTAGAAACAATTTTCACAATAAAATTTTATTAAACATTCTTAACCATAACGTTCAATTAAGTGATTGTTAACCAGTTTGTATATGCCCACTTGATAGAAATTTCTTAAACAAAAACATTTACACCTGTAATCTAAAATCTTGCTAAAGCACTAGGGTTGCCATAACATTATGCTAACAGAAAAAAACATTTAAATATCATTAAAAAATTGTATTTCCTTTGCTTGATGGAAAAAGTGCCTCATTATTGCTTCACCATTTGATTTGTTGAACAAACATAATCAGTCTCAAAGTGGAAATGCCATTGCTGATCAGATATAAATTTTTTATCAGGAACTTTATTTGAATCTGTGTGTGTTTGTGTGTGTGTAAAAAAAACATAAAACAAATTTTTATATTGTCAGTGAAAAGTCATTACTACATATCTCAAAAAGTTAAGGTTTTCAGGAAAGCAAAAATCTGAACTGATGCTATGACTGTAAACTCTCAATTACAAAAAGGTAAGGTCTAATACAACTCAGCATTATTATTTTTACTATTTTATTCTTTAATTAAAATTTAAATATTTAATTAAACATTGAGATATATTGTCTTGACCTCCATCAATTGATTTTCTAGTTTTGTGTCATGCAAAAAAAAAAATGCATTTCTATTAGTATTTGGTTTACAGAGTTTTAACAGAAGATGCATATGGTAAATTACAGTTCAAGGTATTGAAACCCAAAAATTTCATTTTTGAGATACATGGTAATGACTTTTCCCTGATGATTTATGCATATACATAAAGAAAAATTTTAAAACATTCTTATGGTTGATCCAATGGGTCTAAAAATAAGAAATATTTTAATTTGTATACAAATAATAGGGTGCAAGGTAACATAATTGTTGTGTTCGATCAAAACTTTTAATTCAAAAATGTTCGAAGAAACTTGACAAGTCTGAGTGTTTTTTTTTACCTTTTGTCTTGCTTGCAAAACATTTACAAACTAAGTTTGGTTAAAGGTGGTATCAGTTGTTATTGTGCTGTTTATATTGGATCATGATTGTCAACATGTTTATAAATTGTATGTAAGGCAAAGTTGTTTTAAAAAATAGATAAATAGAGACTTAATCTGAAAGTTTTTATGTTTGCAGTTTATTAATACTTCTATCTAAGATAGATGAGTTTTTTGCTATTGGTTTGTGAAAAAATTGTTAATTTTTTCACAAATTGTTTAGCAAAAAACACTCCAAAATTTTTGAAAATTTTGAAGGAAATTTAAGTGAATTTCTGAAATTCCCATAACTCATCTATGAAATTCCCAGAACTCATTCTGAAATTCCCAGAACTCATCTATGTATCTAAACAATAGTACCTTTTTTAAATCTTAAAATTTATAATTAAACAATACAGTATTCTGAGTTTTATCTAAAACCAACAGAAGTTTGTGAAGTAAAACTGTGTCTAAACCTCCTCAACTAAAGTGAGCCCTTCTGGAGTTTAAGAAAGTAAATAAATTTAAAAGTATATATGAATATACAATGTAATATATATTATATCCTAGCGTGTGCTAATAATATTTAGTTGTAGCTGAGGCTCTGTAGTAGTTGCTTTAAGAAAGTATGTTATATACTCATTAAATGCAAGAATTGTCAAAATATTTTTTTTTTAGATACTGGTATGAAAATCAAAATTATTCAAAATCGTGTTAGCCAAGCAGTATTTAATGCTTTTAAATAATGTGTTATTGATGGTTATTTAAAAAAAGCCATAACAAAAATGGGGGGGGGTAAATAAAACCATGCGTGCTTTATGGACGATCCCTAAGTTGCTAGTAATATTAGGTGAAGCTTTTCATGCTGAGCTTGTTCTTGATATGAAAGTAAAAAAATTTTCTTTCAACATAGATAAGTGCTTTTCAGCTAAAAATAAGAAAGTTCTTAGTATACTCGTAGCATTTTTTTGCAACAAGATTAATAAAGATGCATTAAAATACTAAGCATTGTTATATTGGTGGGCAGAAGGTTTTAAGTGTAAAAAACATTTGGAGGTTAGTAAAATTATCAAGGCATGTCTAAGTATATTCAGAAGTCTTCACATTGAGCAATCATTCAGCATGATGAACACCATAGTTAACAAAAAGACAAGATAGTTGTCTTGATACATCAGCGTACTCTGCTATAGCAAACAAGACCACAACACTAGGGTGTTTTAAAATACGAGATATATTGCATGACCAAGTTAACAAAAATAACTGTGGTCAATTACAAATTGCAAGCAAACACTATATTAAAAAATGGAATTCCATCAGAAAAACAGAAAAGTTGAAGAAAGTTTTTTAATATAAATTCAACACAGAAAAAATAATAATAATTGCAAAACATGAACTTCGCAAAATAGTTAAAAAATCTATAACTGATCATGCAAAAAAATGCAGAAAAAAAAGCTGAAAAAAAAATGTTTTGCAACATAAAAAGGTAATAATAAAAAGTATTGATTTGTGAACCATTGTCTGACATTTAATATTTAAAAAGTAAATAAGTTATTATGCTTTGCACATTGTTTACCGTAAAACTGAATCAATATATTTGATTTTAGAGAAACATAATAATTCAGGAGTTTTTAGTTACTTTATTTATCTCTTTACTAATGTTCTAGAATTTACCCACATACCTTCGTTACTTTGTTGACTGTAAAATTTTCCGGGAGTTTCCAGATTTTTTATAAAAACAATTTTCTGGGATTTTCATAAAGTCAAAAACTCATCTTTGGTTAAGATCTCGTCTACTTTAGGAAGTGAAACTAACAATTTTTCAGATAAATTTTTCATTTTTCTATTTCACGTGAAACAAAGAATAGTTTCTCATCAATAAAAGTTGTTGTGTTAGAAATCTTTGAATTTTTATATGTTAATATATTTGAATTATTTTCTATTATATAATTGACAATATGATAGCTGAATATAATAGATAATATGTGTATCTTTAAAAATATGTTTTGTAAATAAAAAGGAGCTTTATAAGCTTGAAAATTGTATGCATAAATTCTGAGCGAAATGTGTATATTGGAATGTGCTTGAATATAGTATAAATGAAATAAAATGTGTATATAAAAATGCAAAAGTAATTTTTTTATTATTAAATTACTATTATTCCTCTAGAAATGTGATGCGATGTATACTCATTATTTTTTAGTCATTATTAGATCAGCCTTAAAATTTATCTTTAATTATAAAAGAATAGTATAACAGTAAAATTATTTATAGTTAGTATTAGAAAAAATATTTATCTATTGCAGGAAAATGGAAAATTCACGTTCCTCTCGTGATGAAAGGAGGCGAGCTACACATAATGAAGGTATTTTTTTCAGGTTTTTAAGGCTAAAAAAAAATGTAAAAAATGTAAAAGTAAGTGCAAGTGAACATAAATTAAAATGAATAGTTTTAAGATAATGAAATATTGTTGTATATTTCATTATCTTAAAACTATTCATGTATTGTATTTTTTTATTATACCAGGTAAACAGAAGAATCTAGTAAAAAAAACATATAAAAAGTTTCATATTAATTTTTTTTAACTTTAAGACTTGTTTTTAATATTATACAATCAAAGTTATCTATTGTCAAACTGTGTATAATAACTTGATACAGATGTATAAAAAAGAGTAGAATTAATAGTTTTTTAAATAGTCTCACTTATTAGCAAGATTCATGTACATTATACTTAAATCTGTGTTCTATGAATATCTAGTAGATAAATATGTACAAATAAATGTCTCGGTACAATATAAATTTGCTGTATGCAAAAAAACTTTTTTAAGTAATCCCACTAAGCAAACAATAATTTTTATTTACTCGACTATTTATTTAAAGCGTGTACACAATAAGTGTGAGAGTGAAAATCAACTAAATGAAGGTACTCATCAATTTTTATTTAGAACTAAGTATTAATTTGAATACAATAATAAAGGAAGATAAAATATTTCAAAGAAATTTAATTTATTCTGCGGGCATCTATTAAAATTTAGAACTTTTATTTGGGTGTTACCCATAAGCTTGTGCACATAACAACAATCAAAACTATTTGATACTTTTTGAAATGAAATTTTCAAATCTTTAAGGTTTCTGCTTTAATAGAAAATCATAGCTTTTTTTTAATTATTATTTAATACTTACCAGGGGTGTGAAGTCGTTTAAAAAAAGTACTGACTCTAACTCCAAATGTTTAAATTTTCAGAGTACAACTCCAAATCAAAATTTTTATAAAATTCTTTGAATTCTTAAAAAATATGCCATAATTTAAAAATTTTTTTAAAAAAAAAAAAAATTTTTTTTGCCAAATATGATGAGTTCTTTGAAAATTAAATATTTTGTACATACAAGTGCCAGACCAAGAAGTTTTACTATTTAGCCGGAGTCAGCGACTCCAACTCCACAGCCCTAATACTTACCCATTACTTAATTTTAAAACATTCAATAATTTTTAATTCTATGCAGTTTAGAAGATTTGCTATTTTAGACATAACTTTAATGTCATTTTGTTTATATAATCCCATAGCCAGTTTGCTGTAATGTCATGATAAATCAGGCAAGAACACATACTATTATATGATTTAGTAAAAGGTAAAAGACGTTTTTGTAAACACTCTTTAACATTTATTTTACCAGAAAGTGTTGAATTAGAAATGTAGGGTGCTTATTTTTTGTCATACCTGCCAATAGCTTGCCAAATCAAACATTTTTAACAAAAATATCATGTTTTGTGTATTTAAGTTTGCTGATGATGGTACCTTATATAAGTTTTATCATCTTCGATAATTTAGAAATATACTTGTCATAATACTTTCTTCAGCGGGCTCTTGCACTTTTATTTTGAATTTCAAAACAGTTAAGCATGATGTGAATTTGAAAGCTTAAACTTGAAGAAAATTTATCTTTTTGCACGTTTCCTTAGTAAGAGGCTTGCATATTTTATAAAACTGTTAACCAGTTTTATATCTTGAAAAACCTCCTTCCCACTATTACCAGATTTGCATTTAATTGATTTTGTTTAGGAAAAACGTTAAATAACATGACTAACGGTGAAGGGATTTATTTGCAACTTTTCTGCTATTGAATTGTAGCTTCTATTTGGATTTGACAAATATTTGTGCATAATACTTTTTCTAACGTTTTCTTTTTTTTGTCATTTTAAAAACTTATTTTAAGTTAAATGGGAAAATTAAAACATTTTATAAAAACTATTATATGTTGCCAAAAAATACAAACAGTTAAAAATATTATTATAATCACTGAAAAAAACTGAAATGTTTTCTCTTTCACATTTATTTCGTGTACATGTTTTACTAGTCAAGAAGGAAATGTAATAGCAGAGCTAATTGAAACGAGTTCCCTTTGTACCAAACATTAGCTCTAACCAATTGAGCTATCTTGGCTTAATGTTTGATTAAGATGGTTGATTGTTCATTAAGATGGTTGCTGAAAACCTCCACACAAACACAAAGATTATAAGCTACAGTGTAGTTTTCTATATAACATGCATACAGTTGTAAGTTAAATGATTATTTTATAACAGTAAGAACTAGTGCTAGAACTACTGGTTAAAGTATATAATGCGAATAATGGTTTATTTATTCCCAGTTTATATAGTTGTTTATTTAAAGATGATGGTCATTGTAAATGTGGGTGAAACATATAATTGTTAAATCTGTCATAAATATAACTAGTAACAGTTAGTTTAATTGGTAGAGAACTGATGATGGTTGCTAGTAAAATGTATAGAATTTTAAAATACAATTAATTTCATAACAATATAACAGTAAAAGCAAAATATGCATAGCAACAAGTAATTTCTGTTCTCATAAAATATACCAACACAAACAGGTATAAATATGTAACAAAATATACTTTTTGTAAGTGTTAAAATAATTAAACATTTTGGTGAAATCACAAATAAGCAATAAAGGTATGCTGATAGTGATATTTTAATTATGTTAATTATGTTAATTATGTATGCACATCGTTGTGATTTAAAAAATATAAAGGTTAAAAGATTTGATTTAAAAAGAAAAATTTATACAAAGTGAAGTACAATTATTCGTTTTGTAAATAAAAGGCTGTATAGAGTACATGCTTTTTATTTACAAAACTAATTTTGTAAAAAACGCTAACAGTCTCACTAAGGTTGAGACTACAAAGTCTTATATGACATAAGGAGACATTCCTAATGTCTTATAAGATTTAGGAATCCCCTCTCCCCTTATGCATCTGTATGCTTTCAACAACTCCTCCCCCGTTCTCACTATATTCGTACGTACACATTTTTTATTATAAAATCAACTGTTCCCCATCGCATAAGCATTGACTACAAATAACCGAATGGTGATTTGCATAAAAGTGATTTTTTTCGATTCTGCTATTAAAAAAACCTCATCAAATCGCACTTAGTTTCTTAATAAAAATTAGCTCGCAATAAATTATCCAGCAATTCGCTCCATAAATGATAACATTGCGATTACTTAACTAAATATCGCATTTGTAGCCAAGCGCCCATCGAAATTTACCGCATTACCGAAATTGTTCAAATTGCGGTAATTCCAGTGCTTAATTCATATACTTTTGTGTACCCCTCTCTCTCTCTCCCCCTCCCTCTCCCTCCCTCTATACCTTCGTGCGTACTTTATGTAAGACTCCTTGACCAGTTACAAAATGTCTCGCTGGTGGCTGTACAAAATGTCTCGCTGTATGGCTGTGGTGGTATGTAGTTTATTTTGGTTTTGACTTAAGTATAGAGAAGAACATTAGAGCCTATGTTTTTAATGAGTATAGAGAAGAACATTAAGAAAATATTTATTGATGGTCAATAAAATCTTTGTTTTTAATAAAAGCAAAATTGATAGGTTGTAATTATATTTATCCGAATGTATTTAAAGTTTAACGAAGTTTTTACGTAAAAGTTTTGCTAGTTATTTTTCATAATGAAGTTTTGATTTTTTATAATTATACATAATTAAAGTAGTTTTTTCACGATATATCACATGTTTACTGGTCACTCTTAATCATGTTTCCAGAGGGGTTTTATACTAGGCGAAAATAGATTTCCAAAATCTATTATCCATTGTTAATTAAGAGATAATTTAGTCTTTCGTTTTCTAATTTAACATTTTTTTATATATTTATTTATTCTTGAATTATTAAAATACGAGGTGTGTTCAAAAAATTAAGGTGACTTTTCAAATTTCGCGGGCAACGTACTTTCGATTATCGATTTTTTTGTTTTGTCATTTTGGTAGACTCTTTCCGAACATCTGTACCAAGTTTCAAGTGTATAGCATTTTTTGTTTGGTTGTGTGAAGCGTAAAAGTTATAAGTGTTTTGCGTGCTCGGCGATTTTTGTCTATCGTAAAATATGAATCAAAGGATTTGCATCAAATTTTGTGTAAAAAATGAAATAAAGTGCTCCAAAACATTTGAAATGTTGACAGTGGCATACGGTGAAACTGTTCTGAGTAAAAAAAAATGTTTACAAGTGATACAAACTCTTTCAAGATGGGAAGATGCCAATGACGAGCCTCGCTCTGGACGCCCAACCACGTCAACAACTGATGAAAACGTTCAAGCAGTGAAGAAAATTGTTTTGGAAAATCGTCGAATCACTATCAGTGAAGTTGCTGATGATGTTGGTATATCGCTTGGCTCGTGCCATGAACTTTTTCTAACGTTTTGGGCATGAGACGTATGTCAGCGAAGTTTGTTTCGAAATTGCTCAATTTTGACCAAATGAACATCGCTCAAGAACTGTTGAATGACGTCAACGACGACCCAGATTTACTCAAAAGGGTCATAACTGGTAACGAATCATGGATATATGGTTATGATATCGAAACCAAAGCCCAATCGTCCCAATGGAAGAACCCAGGTGTGCCAAGACCGACAAAAGCACGCCAAGTTCGATCAAATGTCAAAGTTTTGCTCACTGTTTTCTTCGATTACCATGCTGCGGTGCATCAGGAGTTCTTACCATATATATGGTTGTACGGTCAATAAACAGTATTATCTTGAAGTTATGCACCGTTTGCGAGAAGCAATACGAAGAAAACGTCCAGAATTGTGGAAAAACAATTCATGGCTTTTGCATCACAACATTGCCCCTGCTCACTCATCTTTGCTTGTGAGAGATTTTTTGGCCAAAAACAACACCACAATCATGCCTCAGCCACCATATTCACCGGATATGGCTACATGTGACTTTTTCTTGTTCCTAAAACTAAAGAGACCTATGAAAGGACGGATATTTGCAACGATTGAAAAGATAAAGACTGCGTCGCTCTAAGAGCTCAAGGCTATACCGAAAAGTGCTTATGAGAAGTGCTTTGAGGATTGGAAAAACCGTTGGCATAAGTGTATTGTATCTGAGGGGGATTACTTTAAAGGGGACAAAATAAATATTAATAAATAAATAAATGTTTTTTCTTAAAATTACAAAGTCACCTTAAATTTTGAACACACCTCGTATATTATAAAAAATTATATTTCTGATTTTTTAATATACGATTTATTTGACATTGAATTAGTTATATCTTTAAACACGTTTTTAGTTGAAAGAAGAAGGCGCGACAAAATTAATACATGGATAATGAAACTTGCAACAGTTGTTCCAGACTGTCAAATGGATCAATCAAAACAAGGGACCAGCAAAGGTGGTGTGCTTTCTAAAGCTCTCGATCATATTATAAAGTTGCGAACGCAAAACGATAGAATGGCTGACACGATTAAAGAACAGGAGCGTATTTTAGTAGAAAATCAAGTATTACGTCAACAAGTAGAAAAGCTACGTCAAGATAACGCAATCTTACAAGCAAATTTACAATTTAGGCACACTGAGCATTTGGAGCATGACCATAAAATTGAAAGTGATTGAGTTCAACAAATTTAAAATTAGTTTTATTTTATTAAAAACTTTTTTAATAAAATTAACTTTAATTAAAGTTATATAAATATGATTTGAATAAAATTGGAATCGATGTTGTAAATATTATTTATTAAAAAAGATTACTCCATCTTATTTTCGCCAATGTCACTCATACCATATTAATTGACTCTTGTTTTTAATATATAATTGGTTTTTTAATTGAATACTTTCGTAAAAAATATCCGCATTAAGATTTCTGTTTGATTTTATTATTTTTACAAAAATTACACCTATCAATCAAGTTAGAAACTAACAGAAAATGAACAGCAAAAATGCAGTTGACAAATTTTAAAAATTGTATGAGTCAGGAAAACATGAACATGGGAGAGAATCAAACCATCGATGTTTCGAGGAAAGAAAAGGTTTTTAAGCATAAAGCCGGCTAAAATACAAAGAAATTAGCTCACTTGTACCTTTCCATATTTAACCGTAATGTTGTCTTAGGGCAGGGCTATGATATGAGTGGAACAGATTTCTTATAACTTTTTCTCACCAATAAAAGAGAATGATCGAAGTTTAGGGTCATATTTTTTTATCATTTTTATTGACCATAAAACTTTTTTCTTAAATTTAAAATTCATTCCGCTCATATCATAGGGTATAATATGGACAACACTTAAGAAAAATTTCATAAAAAATATACTGTTCTCCAAATATATTATCCGGCGTCAGCAAATCACTATTCTGAGAAAAACACGATTAAAGTAGAAACTTTAAATACATAAATATTCATAAAATAGGTATTGAAAGAAAAAAATCTAAATTTTCAAAATCTACTAGGTAGATGCAAGTACTACCTTTTTCAATTATTTTTTCTTTTTTTTTTTTTTCAACCTCGGGAAGTAATATAAGATACTAATAAGACTTGACTTATTATCAGGGTTTATTCGATATTCAGCATGTCTTTTTCTTTCATTATTTAATGCTTTTCATCCTGCAATCATTTAAAAGCCTGGTTCCATGTTCACTTCATTAAAAATATCACGTGAAATTTGCTCCACTAATAAAATAAGCGAGAGCCAATTTTTAATTGGGTAAGCGAGACAAATGTTTGTTTTGATATACAGTTCCAAATCATTCTATTAAGCGATTTATTAGCATTTTGTGTTTTGTCTTGCAAACATTTTTTGTAACTCGCTGTCTTCACTTAACTCTTCAAATATATATCTCAAATACATAATAGCGTCCATTGGTAAACCCGGTCCTGACTTATATGATGTTGTTTTATTTATTTTATCGGCATTGTATTTACACCAGATGTCTGGACCAGTAGGACTGTGAGGAAAATGTAATCTATTATTTTTTGATGAAACCACATGAATTAGCGATGCTGACACTCCTGTGTTCATTTACTTTAGGTTACCTGCATTTTGTCTGATTGCAGCTCCAACAAAATTTTGAAAGCGATCAATTGTTGGATCTGTAAGATGCGACAATATACCACATCTGTAAAATGCGACCCTTTACCACTAAGACCTTTTTCACTTTTCTTTAAATTCCGCAACCAAGTTCCAACTCTCTTTTAGTAATGTCCAACACATTCTAGCTTTTCATTTTCTATATCAGGGTTTGTATTTTTAGGATTCATGTAACTTTTACACCTAAATATTGAACATATCTTAACTGGCGATTATCAATAGAACGCTGAAAAACACGCTCTGCTCCTTCTGGCTCCATACCACCAGCAGAACCTTGGTATTTATACTTAAAAATATGGGAATTTCTCCATTGTGCATAAGCATTTGGATAAGACTTTTGAAGGCCTTGATTAATACTACAACCTTTACAATATATAGACATGACTTCAACATCTAAATCTTTGCCAACAGTAGAGCTAATAGAAAAGACTCCATTCAGCAATGAATATCCTCGTTTGTGCCATGTACCACAAATATCAGTTGGTGTCAAAAATGTTTTTTTGCAATTTATTTGCAACATTTATCATTATTTGTTCTGCTACGGCTTTAACAGTTGTTACAATTATTTTCAGTTGTTGCAATTTTTAAGTTTTTTTTGGTCATAAGCTTCGGTAAATTCATAAAAGTGCAAAACTTTTTTATCCCTGCATATCCATGGCCCAATAGTTGTATGCAATAAATTATTCGCTTGATAATATCAAATCTTTTTTATTATTATCGTTGATAGAGGTGTAGAACTGATGAAGATAATTGCAATATTTTTTTTTGACACTTAAGATATAACAAAGAAGATAAACCATGTCGTTTATTATACCTCTCACCTAATGAGAGTGTGGGACTACCTTATTCTGCACACAAAAAAGAACAAAAAACAAAACTAAAACAGCAACATCAATGACACGATAACCAGATAAACAAGGTTTCAAAATAAGTTTTCATTATTTTGTTCCAAAACACAAGTACTGTTAGCAGCATTTAAATTTATTGTTGGAATTTCAATACTAGCATTATCAGAAACACTATCAATGTTCACAGATTTATTAACATTTCCCATAAATCCTTTTCTTTTACGGTGAATTTGTGTACGCTGCTTCACTCGACAATCTTTTCCTATTTTCACTAATAAAACTAAGCTGATAAAGTAACACTATAACTGATTTAAATTGTCGTACTCGATGTAACAACTTTTATAAAAGTTCTAGAAAAGTTTATAAATAACCTGTTTATAACAATTATAACACATATTTGGGTTGAATTAAGGTAAAATGTATGGTGTATACAGTTAAACAAGTGTGTTGCTATAGCGTTGCTTGGGATATCACGTTGTGATATAGTTCATTTAAATAGATAATTTAAGAATAGTTATAGGTTAATGTGCTACTTTTAAAACAATTTTGATGATCATACACAGGTAAAAGTAGTTAAAAACAAATTTTTTTTTTAAATTTTAAAATTTTAAGGGGGATAACCTTTTAAAAAGATAATTGTTAAAAGAACTAATTTGTTAAAATATTGAGAAGCCAGATTTTTCGCGGCTTATTTTTATATTAAGCTTGAGTGGGGTTTTATTATTTGTATTAAAATGATATGATAGTGAAAATTCTTATACCAATGTTTAGTTAATGCTCTCAAAATAGTATTATATATTTCTGATTATTATTCTGGCTGGTTGCACCTTCATTGTATAGTTATGAAGATTTATGTAGAGTTTGCAACTGTAATACAGAAACATACAAACATAATAGAAGTTGGTATTTACAATCTTCATTCAATTTGTTTTAAATTGTTTGGTACTGACTACGTCTATAGTTTCTTGTTGAAGTGCCGTTTTATATTTCCTTTTATATTTTTTACTCGATTTACTATTGTGGCCTCTAGCATTTCACGTTGTGTGTGAAAGTTTATAACATCATACCCTTTCAAATATTGAACTGTTTTTTTACATAATGTAATTTAAGTGGAGATTCTTACAATAAATTTTGTTATCATGAGATTGTGTGCTTCATATACATGAGATGTATTTGCAAAAAGCAAATAAATTATATATATATATATATATATATATATATATATATATATATATATATATATATATATATATATATATATATATATATATATATATATATATATATATATATATATATATATATGTATATATATATATATATGTATATATATATATATATATGTATATATATATATATACTATATTTTTATATATATACACTATATTTTTATATATACACACTATATTTTTATATATATACACTATATTTTTATATTATATTTTTATTTATTTGTTTTTTTGTTCTTCAATCTTTACAAATTCGTAATATATAATAGAATCTTTACAGAGTAAGTAAAATTAAAACAAAATCACAAAGTTACGTTATACAAAAAATAATAAAATAAAACTGTTAAGTTTTAATTTATCATTTTATATGATGGTAAATACTTTGGTCAAAGTTTTGGTTCAAATAACTTGAATAAAGTGTTTTTGTTTTTAATTTGTCAAAGTTTTTAATGTGGTAGTTGTTGTTACAGAAAATTATTCTAACAAGGAGTTTGATTGTATATCCCTCCCCCCTCCCTATACGTAGGAATTGAGGGAGAAAGAAAAAAGTATATTAATATATATATATATATATATATATATATATATATATATATATATATATATATATATATATATATATATATATTTATTTATTTATTTATTTATTATTTTTTTTTTTTACAACCATTAATTCTAATATGACAATATATAAACTTGGTATCTAAAATAAAAGTTTTTTAATGATAGTAATAATAATAATAATAATAACAATAATAATAATAATAATAATAATAATAATAATAATAATAGGTAATAATTAATTAATAGAAACAAATTTCACCTGTCACTGTAAAAAAAGGTTAATTAAATTTTTTATCAATTATTTAATTTATAGCTTAGATAATAAATTCCCATCTGTTATCCAATTGAATTATGTCTTGTTTCTGATCCTAGTCAGTTCTCGGTTTCTCCACATTCACCCTTAAATCTTTCTGATCATCAGAATAAAGTGGCGTAACTAGGTAACCAAGGGCCCTGGGGCAAATTAAAAATGGGATCAGAACTGCTATGTAAACTGATTAGGTTTTATCAAATAAAAATATGAAATATACAAATACTTTAAAAATGCTAAGCTACTTATGCTCTTTTTTGTGCATTGCAGGACAGGTAATAAAAATATTAAACAGTAACAACATAAATTACAATTAATACTTGGTGTAGGTTTGGCTAATAAAACAAAATAGAGAAGATTCAAGGATTTATTATATAAAGGTTGGGCTTTATTTTAAAGCGATTGACGCAATTTTCTTACACAGATTTTTGGTAAGGATTCGAGGGCTCCCTGTGCTTGAGGACCTCGGGGCACTGCCCTGCGCAGCTCCTTGGTAGCTACGCCACTATCAGAATCCCTCTATTATAACTCTTTTCATGATTTTTTTTGTAATAACTTTTGGGTAAAAATCTTTTGTCCACCTACTGACAAATGTGCTTCTTATGTAACTTCTTAGTTTCAGGCTGGCATGGAAACTTTTATTTCCTCTTGATAATTCCAATTCAAACCCAAGCTCTTTTCCACGATTTTCGTCTCATCTTGTTGCTGCAGTTTCCAATTTTTTATTAATTGTATCATCGTCTCTTGTGCCATCTACTGAAATTCATTCTCATGTTACTCGTCATTCAATTAAATCTTACCTTTTTACTGTGATTATTCCTAAGTTCTCCGAAAGTTTTTATTCATCTACTTTTCCTCGAACATTAGTTTTTTAGAATTCGCTCCCTTTATCTTGATTTCCTGATTCATATAATTTGTAATTATTTAAGTCGTCTGTTAATCGTTATCTTGCTTTATAAACTTCATACTTTCTCTTTCCATAACTTCCAACTCTAATAGTGGTTGCTTGCAGCCTTGATATATAAACTAGCTATGCTAACATGGATTATTTATATATCTTTTATTTGATGTATAATAAGTTAAGTTTAAAAATTTCCTTAATGCTTAAAAAAGTTGCGCCAAATTATATATACGTTTTTAATCCCTCAAATTGAGGTGGATTCAAACTTTATTTGGTCATAATACTTGATTGTTAAGAGATTATACTATGAAATTTAAATTTTATCGATGAATGTTACTTTAGTTTAGAAAAGAAAAAAATTTATTGGGGAACACTTTATGGGTTCTTTTTAATATTTTGTTAAATATCTCTATTTTACATAAGTACAAACATATAAATGTTTAGAGTGTGCTCCATGTCTTTAGGTTAGGTATCTCAAACATACAAAACCCTTGTCTGGAAGTTAGGTATCTCAAACATATACCTACCCTTGTTTAAATTGCCCATAAACAGCATAATTGTTATTATTGATTTTTTAATTAACTTAAAGATGAATATGTAGAACATTTTTTTATAATGGTGATATTATAAAATATACTTATGAAAATATATTTTGTATATTTTATACGATGATGTTTAAAGTCTATTTTTTCGAAGCCATTTCCTCTTTATGTTTGTTAAGATGTTTAAATCCTTTTTATGTGTACAATATTTTTTTACTATAAAAATTGTATATCTTTACTTGACGTTGAACTAGGATTACAATTTTGTATCAAAATTCATTATTAAGTAATACCTTTATAATGGAGTTGTTTTTGTTGGAAAAATAAAATTTAAATTTTTTATTAAGGTACCTAATTTTGTCGAATGGGAAACTTTTTGATACGGGAGTTAACCTCGCAGTTTTAAAAAGAGTAACAGTTTTGACACGGATGTGGAATAAAAATGCGGGAAAGAAATCAGGGATTTTTAAGTTTGGTTTTATTTTTGATCGTTTATTAATATATATTGGAAAAGATATTATTTTTAGTGTAATGATAAAATTTTTATTGTAGTGATAATATTTTTATTGTAATCATATTATATTTGTTGTGATGATAGTTTCACAACACGAAAAATATGTTCTACTATGTGTGACACAAGTAAGTTACATTAGAACTGTCCTGTAATGCCCTGGATTTTTACAATTGTCCTCAAATGTTTAGGAAAATTACATTTTATCTAAAATTTCCAGAAATGTCCTGGAGTTGCTATTTTTTTTTGAACAAAATTGGAAAATTACTATATATATTTGAGTTTAATTAATTTTTTTAATACTATATAAAAAAATTTATAATAATGGTTTTAATTTAATTTTTATACAACAAGAAAGGATTTTCTATGATTAATTATTATTTTTTTTTCTTTTCATTTTAATTACATTGTTGTAATTACTTTAAATTTATTTTTGCTTACATATGTATAGTCCTATATAAAAGTATGATTCAATTAAAAAATTCTATTAAATTATTGTTTATATAATTCTTATTTATATTTTGTTATATTAACTATTGTTGTTTTTGACTAAATCAATCAAAATTCAATTTAGTCAAAGTTATTTTGAATTACTTAAGAATTTTATTACATTAAGTTCTCTGACTTTAGATCTATTTCAACTTTGAATTAGTCAATTTTAGTTAGCTTTAGAAAGTATATTCGGTAATTTAGTTAACAATCGAATTATGTAGCAAAATAAATATGATAAAATTTTGTTGTTAATTAAATAGAGAAAAAAATTATGAGCATTGTTAAAAATAATTTAATGTTTATTTAATAGTTCTCTCATGAGTCCAATATCAATTTAATTTTCGATTTTATTTTATTTAAAAAATTTAAAAATTTTAACTTTTGTATTTGTTTGTAAAATTTCAAGGCTATCAGACTATCTTATAATTAGACTATCTTATAATCATGACTAAATCTTACACACACACACACACACACACACACACACACACACACACACACACACACACACACACACACACACACACACACACACACACACACACAAACACACACACATATGTTTTAACTCTGAACCTTTAATCTTATAATCTAATATTAGTTTATTGGAAATGTTTACTATTTCAAATTCTAAACCCTCTACTCCAAAACGTCTTATGACCTCATATGAAGTTGAGAAGTATATAGAAAAAGTACAAAGTCGATTGCAGAGCCCTTTTGATGTAAGTATCTAGAGTAATTGCTTTTTAAATGTAATCTAGTATGTTATTTTATAGAAATTTTTATGCTTTTAGAAAAAAACAAAAGCATTTGGATTCGCTCAACTCTACTATGATGCTAAAGATTATGAACTTGCAAGAATGTAAGATTTTAATAATTATGAATATGCAAAACTTTCAAGGAAATGCATTTGCCATAATTGACACCAATCAAAATGTTTCTATTATTAGTTGAATAGAACGTTTTTGACTTAAGAATAACATAGAACATCATAGTTATTATTAGTACAATTTAACAACAATAATATAACAATTAAATAATACTTATTTTATGATCACAGGATCATAAAATAAAATAAGATAGGGTTGGGAGTTCAAGTCTTTCTCAGGGAAATTTTCATAAATTTTAATGTTATATATCTAGAAGGTCACTATTTGTATGCTCCTACAAATAATGTTCTCTTTACATTGTTGCTTTCATTATTTGTACGCTCATACAAATAATGTTTTCATAATAAAAACCTTATTTGGTGCAAAACAAATATTAAAATCTTTTAATTTTTCTCCTTATTGATATAGTAGTGTAGCCATGTGGGTGTATTAGATATCTAATACATCCACATAGGCGCTGATAACAGGATTGCTGGTTCAATCCCTTCTCAGGGTGTTTATTTTTTTAAATTTTAATATTTTTTCATTGATTATGATAAAAAAATGTGTTGGCATTATATTGCAGTTTATATATAGCCAATGTTATTATAAATCAGTATTTGCTATATGTATGTATATATATATATATATATATATATATATATATATATATATATATATATATATATATATATATATATATATATATATATATATATATATATATATATATATATATGTTAGAGCTGTTCAGTATGCTAATTTGTTTTCAGAACATAGCTAATTGAAGTTTTTCCTAAAAATTAGATTTATTTTTTTTTTATAAAAAATGAATCTAATTTTTAAAATTTTATAAAAATTTTAAAAATTAGATTCATTTTTTATAAAAAACAACTTAAAAAAACTTATTATTAAAAATGTTGTGAATATTACCTTTTTTTCATTTTTCGTTTAAAAACCATAGTTTTTATTCAAAAAAACCTAATATTGGTTTTTTTTATAAAAAATACTTTTTGTTTTTGAAATTTTTAAATGATTTTGCTTCTTTTGAGTACCAAGTTGACATATTTTTAAATATTTTTTTTTTCAATAATATTAGGGACCTGTCAAATGTTTAGGGGCTTTGAGGGACCTTCAGGGCAAATAATAAAATTTAGTAAAAAATATTTTTGAACCACAATATCATAGTTGAATGGGAAAAACTTCAATTAGCTATGTTTTGAAAACAAATTAGTATACTGAACAGCCCTAATATATATATATATATATATATATATATATATATATATATATATATATATATATATATATATATATATATATATATATATATATATATATTTACAATTTATATACAATATATATATATATATATATAAATTTTATTTTTAAATTATTTTATATATAAATTACAATATATATATATATATATATATATATATATATATATATATATATATATATATATATAATATATATATATATATATATATATATATATATATAAATTTTTACAATTTAATTAGGTATGGCATAATCTGTTTGATCATTTAATCCTTAAAAACCTGTATATAAGTTATATATTTAAATATATAATGTGTAATTTATAATGCAATATTATATGTGTAATTTATAAATAATTAAAAATGTTTATAAAAACTGCAATGGGTTTTTAGATATCTAGAAGATTTTCTTACAATCCAAGATCGTGATTTCAGGTTAGAATTTTCATTTTTTTTATAAAATATTTTCAAAAGTGATTTTTTAAAGTAATGCGATAGTGGTGTAGCGGTAGAGCGCTTGCTTCATAAGCAAGAAGTTTCAAATTTGATCCCTTGCACGTCCCTGGTAGTACAGCGCCCAACTCGTTTCTCTGCACTGCAGCCTTGTTTATCATGGTTCGTGTTTGAGTTAAATAGTTGAGAGAGGGTTGATGGTAGAGGCCTTCTTGACTTTTGGGAGGTAAATAGTGTTGCCTAACACTATTTACCTCCCAAAAGTCAAGAGTAAATATTGCCTAGAGTAAATATTTTAATTTTGCTTAAATATTTTCAGTTAAATACTTGATTTTATCTTTTTAATGTTTAATATTCTTTAAAATTTTAATTTTTCAGATTTTTTGAATGTATTTATTAATCTATTATCTTGCTTAATTAGCAATGAGAAAAAAAAAAAATTATGTTCAATTAATATTAATTTTATTAAACAGATAAAAATTCAATAGTTAAAAATAGACTGAAAATGTTGAAATGGTGATAGATCAAATATACATATTTTGAGTATTTATTAAGTCAATATTAAAAAATGTTAAATATACAATTAGTTGATAATTTTTTTTCTTTCTTTTAATAACATCCAACAAGGCCTTTAGCAACAGCTAATTAAGTTGATAGTAAACAGCAAACAAAGTTAAAGAACATAAAAGTGGTAGACGAAAGACATTAAAAAACAGTTTAAGACGTAAAAAAACTCTAAACTGTGTGAGTCAAGAAAACATGAGAGTGAGAGAGATTTTATAAGCATCTTAGTTTGAGAAAGAAAACATTCAGTTTGAGAAAAAAAAAAGGTTTTATGCCCAAAAAGGTTTTATCTGTAAAATCTTTTTGAGTACCGAGGAACAGTTCAGTAAAACTTAAGTGAATAACAAGCCAACCAATATTGAGTTTTGGTTGATGGAACAAATGATGATTACTCGCTTGAGCAGCAAATATTGGTAGTATTTGAAAATACAAAAAAACAAACAAAAAAACAATGAGGCAGAGGTTTAATCTTAGCAGCTATATCAGCCTAGGGTTGCCAGATATACAGCGCTTAAAGGAGGACATAAAAAAGGTTTTTAAGATTTTGGGGCGCTAATAGCTTTTTTTATCATAGGGGGTGAGGCTGCAACCCTCTAGCCATGGTACTGACACGTAATGAGAATAAACTACTAAGTATAATCCATTAATGTTATATAAGAAAATTTTATATGAAATGCCAAAGTTGCTGTAGCTGTGTGGGCTTTTTGCATTATCTTTAAATTTAAGGTTGAAAAAGGGTGTTAGTTTTTTATTATTATTATTATTTTTTGTTTATTTTGCCGTTTAATAACTTTTATAATTTAAAGCTTTATAAATAAAAACACTGGCAGGGCAAGTAGAAGACATTATTTTGTCTTATCACCAAGCCTTAATCGTAGGTATTAACAATAACCATATAATATATTTATACTTTACAAATTATTGAAAATTATAAATGCAAAATAAATAACAATTAGTTTAAGAAATACTTCAAGAACAATATTCATGTTAAGAGTAATAATTATAAGTATAAAAATAAACAATAAAAATCAAAAGAAAAGAAAAAAAGAAACACAAAAAAAAAAAAAATAAAATAAACTAAATAGCAGGTATTTATAAAAACCTTACTATATACATATATTATACAAAGTATTTATTGAAACATATGAAAATTAAATCTATAACAATTTGTAATAAAGTAATATTTAATTAAAGAACGAAAAATTAAAAATTAAAGATAAAAGAGTACTTAATTTACAAAAACCATAATATTTATGTTTATTTTAAAACCAATTTGTATAAAAGTAAAATAAATAACAATTCATTGGTAGTTAAAAAATAGAAAAAATATTCAATAACTTAGATTAGATTTCAACAATAACTTTTAAGATTAGAGGAAATACCATAACTGAATTAATGAAAAAAAAAGTTGATAGATTCTGAGACATTATATATAATTGAATTTTTGTCTTAAAAAACATTTAAAATCAGATATGTTTAAATCCATAAGTAATAACACCTGTTTTGATTCATTTTTAAACTGTTGTATAATAACTTTTTTAATTTGCAATATTAATTCTTTTTCCACAAATAAGGTCCATGGTATTGAATTGAATATGTAATTTGTTTTGAATTATATTTAGGGACAATGTAGTTATTATCTGAAATTTTTGTCGGGTGTTTCAGGCCTTGTTTTAAATAAAAAAGTGCTTAATGCATTAGCTTAACGCAATTTTGACGTCATAAAATTATCTTTATTTTTTTTTATAGACGTTAAGTGTTTTAACTACGGCAATAAATAAATAACCGCAAACTAATTCAATTTAACAATTAACTCAAATATAAACTATAAACGTTTTAAATATAAATTTATTATGAAAATTTTGTAATGTTTTCAATTGTTATATTATTATTAATTTTAGTTCAATATTATTTAGTAAAAAATATATATATATATATATATATTAATTATTTCTGAAATTTGTTTTTGAATAATTGTTTTTAATCGTCATTGAATAAAAAATAATGATTTTTTTTATCTTTAAAAATTTCTAGAGTAAACAAAAAATATTAACATTGATAAATACAAACCCATGTTAATTATTTAAACAACGATTTTGTTTTGACTAGCAAAGAAAAATTTAAGTTTTTAAATATTTTAAAAATTTTTAAAAGCGTTTCAACTTGCGTTTTATAAAAATATAAAAAAGTTTTGTCTGCTTTGAAGCGTATTTTTGATACGTAGTTTAGAACGCGTTCGCTAGGAATTTAATTCATAAACTTTTTATGTTATTGTAAAAATATTTAATTTTTTAAACAAATCACAAAGAAACAGAGCTATAGAGAAAAATCATTTTCAACGATTAAATCTTTTTTTTTTTTTTAATTTTAGGAAATTAAAAAAAAAATTAAATTAAATATAAAAGTCTTAATTATGCAAACTCTTTTATTAATTATTCTTAAAACAAAAAAACAAATACTTGTACGCCAAACTTTAATCGTGCAAACTTATAAAAATACTCAACTGAAATAATTTAAGTATATTTAACAATTTGAATCGTATCTGTTTATAATAAACGTTCGTAAAAATTTGTTTATTAAAAATTAAGTTCCTTAACTTATAAACAAACTCAAAAGTATTTTCATTCTACGTATAATTACAAAACTCTTTTTTTTTTTTCGTTTGTAAGCAATTTAACTTAATAAAATAAAAAAAAGAATAAATATGAGGTAATCTTTGTTAAGAATAAATTTAATTTATTTATTGAACTATATTTTTATTTTTAATTATATATCAACTTAATTAAAATATAGTAACATGTTTAAATATTTTAACATGACTTGTATTATTTATAAACCGTTGGGCAGTTGCCCTTACGGCACTATTGTTTTTGGATAATATTTTATTTTGATGAAGATCACATAACTTACATTTGATTTTAATAACGTAAGTCTTCTCTTTTTCTGTGATCATCGCATCGGCAAAGTCCCAAGATTTAAAAGTTTTTAAAGTAAATCTTTTGTCCTTCAAAATACAATCCATATTCGAACTTTAAATAATTTAGAGATAATAGAAATATACAAGGTTTTTATATACTAGTTTGTTTTGTTTTATAAAGAAAAATACATATTCATTAGTAAAAAATGGAGACTGTCATTAAACTAAAACGTGCCTTAGTATTTATTTAACGGAACCTGTAATGTGCGCGTGCATAATAAAACCTCCGTTATATAAATATATTCAACGTAATATTAGTGTCATCAGCGGATGTTGTAGTCTACTCATGATTTCTTTACCTTATATTATAACTTGATTTATGACAAAAAAAACTTATTGAATCGCACGCAGAAGAATTTTAACAAATTGTCTTCATTAAAATATTGCGAGTAACAGGTAATTTTTTTTTCTGTGCCGACCCCCTCCCCCCGCATAACTTAAACTATATACTAATAAACTAATAAGAAAAGCTATATACTATTAAACTAACTATAAGCTATATACTATTAAACTAATAAGAAAAGCAAAGACATTTTTTTTAACATCTCGAAAAAATGTCTTGATATTTTTGTTATCATGATAACAAAAATATTAAGACATTTTTTGAGATTTTATTTAAAAAAAATGTCAATTCTTAATTACAAATTTTTTTGCAAATGTTTTTTATTATAAATTCAGTAAAAAATTTATAAAAAATCTATATTACAAAAAACTTTTATATTCTGTATTAATAAATATGGAATATAGATTTTTTAAAAGTTTTTTACTAAAAACTTTACTACTTTTTATTAAAAACATTGCAAAAAATTTGTAGTTAAGGATTGACAAACAATTTTTCATGTTGCTAAATATTTGGATAAAAAGTTTAGCGTCAAATTAATTGCTATAAAAAGGAAAGATATATCGCGATGAAAAGTTACAACAATTAATTTTAAAGTAAATTCTTTTTTTTAATAAATACCTTTACATATCGTTATTTAAAAGTTAATGTGGTTTTTTTGAAAATTAATTACTTCTTTTATGTTACCGCTAATTTAAAAGTTAAAAAATAATAAAAAGTAGCTTAACCAAAACAGCTCTACGCGTACGTAAAAAGCGCTTAAGGCGTACATAAATCGCTCTAGGTGTAACGCTTTAAAACAAGGCCTGGTGTTTATGTACTACTTCAAAATAGGACTGCAATATTTTAGGAGATAGTCCCATCTTTATTTTATACATTAAAACTTGGTGTAAGTTGATTTTATAAACGTTTAATGCGCCAAGTATACGCAGAAGAGGCTCGCATTGTACCATTTTATCAGCTCCAAATAATATTCTGCACTCATGTTTTTGTTTACTGTACAATTTTTTTAATTTTGTATGATTTGTACTTGCCCATGCAATATTACAATAAATCAAATAACAATGACTGAAAGAAAAATATAAACTTTTAAAAAATTTATTATTTAGAAATGGTTTAGCCCTATATATCATGGCAATATTTTTTCGATATATTTTTCTCAATGCTTTTTATATTATCACTCCAACATAAATGTTCCTCAGATATTACGCCCAAAAAGTTTACTGAAGTTTTTCTTTTAATGTTAGCATTATTGATTATTAGATTTGGCAGTTTAATGGGAATATTTTCTAATTTATTTACTTTATGGAATAAAATAAATTTGGTTTTATCCACATTTAGAGACAGTTTATTACTTATAAACTACTCATTAACCTTATCCAACTCTTTGTTAGCTGTTTCAAAAAGTGTTTTAATATCTCTATGGGAAAAAAAAGATTGGAGTCATCTGCAAAAAGAATACAATTTAAGAAGTTTAAATTACTGCTAAATTTAAATAATTTGAATATAGGAGTAATAAAAGTCCTAAAATAGAACCCTGGAGGACACCACAAGTTACAGCATATTGAATTGTTTGTTTTTGCTCATATTGGATAAATTGCTTTCTATTGGTCAAATAACTTTTGAACTAAAGTAAGTTAATATTTTTTACTCCATAATGTACAAGTTTTTTTATTAGTATGTTATGATTTACAGTATCAAAAGTCTTTGACAGATCAATGAAAACTCCTAATGTAAAGTAGTTAGTACATAATGTGTATGCTATTTGATTGACTATTTTAACCACTGCATGTTTTAGTGGACCTTTTTTTTTTGATCAAACTGTTTTGAATAAAGCATATCGTTTTGTGATAAATAATTAAATAGCCTGTTGTACATTATTCTTTCAAGCAATAAGGAGAAACATGGTAATTTAGATATAGGTCTGTAATTAGAAATAATAGTCATCACCAGTCTTAAAAACCGATGTGATTCGTGCAATTTTCAATTTTTCTAAGACAATACCTGTTTTAAAAGAAAGATGTGAAACAAAAGAGGTTCAATTGTATCACAAAAAGATTTAACAACATTAATGTTAATTTGATCAAATCCAACACTTTTGTTAGTTTTAAGATTTATTTTTTATATAATAGTTTAATAATTTATTATATAATATTTTTTAGCGACAAACAAGTTGCATAAAGCAATCACATATCACATACTTTGCCTCATTCTTGTTGCATTCTTTAGCAAAGCTAAAGGACGCAACAAGAATGAGGCAAAGTATGTGATATTATTTTTTATAGTGCTTCAAAGTTTGCATTTTCTCTTTGTAGAGATTGAAGTCATTTTTATAAAGAAAATCGCAATTCAGTTTAAGTGCTTTTGTTGCTATTAAAGTTAAAAATGTTTCAATTGAAAAAGGAAAGATCTATACTTTTTGAAGTTTTTAAATTCTTTTGCCATTCTATAGAACAACAAAAGAACTCTATAAACTATACAGGTTTGAGAACAATTAGTTTTAAATGGAATGAAATTATGTTCTACCTTTTATTGTTTTAGTTTTTGTTTGTCAAACTGTTGGACAAATAAATGCAATTGGAAATGCAAAATGCGCAAAAATATTAGTCAAACTTTTTATTAAATGTTTTTTAAAGAATAGATGTCAAAAAAATTTAAATATGGAAATATATGTAAAAAAAAAAATAAGCATATGAAAAAATTAAAAACTTAAAATATAAAAAAAGCCAAACATTTTAAATATTTTCAGCTTCGCCTGCTGAACAAAGGTTAAAAAAGGAGAACATGCCCTCCTTTTGCTGGACATCTATCAATCTTAGGTCAGGCCCAACAACCATTACAATACATTTTTGGACCTAAAAGAGAGTCTAATTAGAAGAACCAGCTCAAAGCCTTACCTTACTTATATAACCTTTATAAAAAAACTTTTTATAAAAAACTTTTTTATAAAAAAATGTTCTCAAGATTTGTGGTTTTTCTTGTGTAAAAGATGAAAAAAAAATTACAGTTAGAAATAGCTGATGCACAAGAAGTAGGATAATATAAGGTTAAGTGTGTCTTGATTTTAAACTGGCAAAAAAAAAAGTACACAAGTTTCCATACCTGATTGAATCAAGGAGGTTACAAAGGATATTTAATTTTCAGCAGAGATGCTGCAAAATATCAGCCTGAGGACCATCATGAAGTTTAATCACACCGTGAATTCCAGTTAATCTTAATGTAGTAGTTACATATGTAATAATTTAATGAATCTGATGTTGAAAAAATATTTATTGAGTAAATGTAGTACTACTAATTTGTAATTTTAGATTTTTTTTGTTTACTAGTTATATTAAAGTATTGTTATATTTAGTTTTTTTTTTATTTAACCTCATTTTATTTAAAATCCAAATCATTTTTTTATGTTCATTTCAAAATAAAAATATGTTCATTTTCAAATAAAAGTATTTGTCATTTAATTTTACACTTTAAAATGCATGTTGAAACCAATTCCAAATAAAAATTATGTTTTATATAAATCTTGTATTAAACTTCAACTTGACTAAAGTGTGAACTTTGAGAGTATCTTGATTTTATATCATTTAATTTAAAAAAAAATTTTTTACTATAGTGTTGTCCCTATTACTTTATGTTTGGATATTATGTCACTAATAACAAAATTTATAGACAGGTTCGAACTTTTTCATATCAACTTATGTGTTAGGGATATATACATTTTTTGAGACAGGGTTTGAAAAATTGAAAAAAGTGTGAAGGTTTAGCATATATTGATTGAAAAACAAATGCAGACATTGGTGTACCCTCCAGTTTTTTTCCGGATCACTCTGCGGGTAACTAATTTTTTTCTTAAAAATTGCGAGTAAAAGTTTTTTTTCTTATTTGAGTCGTCTGCTATGATAATCAGTAGTCCGGTACAATTTTTGTTTGGTATTTTTTTTAATTATTTTTCGGTTATGGTTTATTGGTGTCTTTTACTGAGAAAGATTAACTCTTCACTTAATTAATCTTTCTCAAAGCTTTTAAACTTTTTTGGTGTTTTGTTTGTTGTGTTTTAACTAATCCCTTGAAATTAGTTTTTTAAAACATGCATCAATAAAAAAGACTACCGTATAATTGACATTCTTATTAAAGTTAAACCCCAAGTTCTGGTTGTAGTCGCCCTGGACAAGATATCAGTTTTAATAAGTTTAGAGTTCTTTGTGCTATATCTATCAATAGCAGCTTCTCAAATTAGTTCAGAACTGCAAGATATACCTGAGCTGATATACTACTTTAAATGTTTTTCAAAGGTTTCTTTTAAATAATTGCAAGGAACAAAATCTTCATAGTTCAAAATAAGGTTTTATTAACAAACACACACACAGATATATATATATATATATATATATATATATATATATATATATATATATATATATATATATATATATATATATATATATATATATATGACGTCAAAAAGTTCTCTTAATTTTTTTTATTTTTTAAAGACATTAACTTTTTTAAATTACTGCAATAAAATTAAATTTTGTAACAAATATTTTTACGTCATTCAAAAGTTAATGTAGTTTTTTAAAAATTAATTAATTTAAATAAAAGTATATATATATATATATATATATATATATATATATATATATATATATATATATATATATATATATATATATATATATATATATATGCATATTCATTATTTTTCTCTTTTTTTAATTTTGTCAATTTTTTTTCTCTAGAGTTTATAACCTTCTTGGTGAAACCTATGAGGCTCTTGATGATTATCAACAAGCATTCAATGCTTACAAAAGGTACACAAGTTTTATATCAGTTTTATATTAATTTTAATATTCAACTGTCTGGCATGCAGCCAACAGTAAACTAGCATTATTACAAGTTAAAGCATGTTATAATATACAATAATATAAGAATCCTTTTGTATATCAATATTTTAATCCAATATATGCCTATAAGTGAAATTGATATATGATTTTTTGTATGATTCTATCAATAAAATTTTAATGATTTTAGTGATTCTGGCTTAAGATTCTAATTTTCGTAAAACTTAAGACCAGGAAGGAGTTTTGAAAGATTTAATTTCCCAAAACGTAGTGTAAATTTAGCAAGTTATAAAATGTATATTTTATATTTACATAAAAATAAATCAACTAAAAATCAAATTAATTAAAGAAAATTTTTATTACATATATATATATATATATATATATATATATATATATATATATATATATATATATATATATATATATATATATATATATATATATATATATCGTCACTGAGAAACAAGACTTAAGTCCATTTTTGCTGTTCTGAGAAAAAGACATTTAAAGTTTTTTATTCATCACTGTGTTTGATCTTCTTAATTAAACCAAATTGTTTTTAACATACTTTTAGAATATATTATTATTTTTATATAACAAATAAAAAATGGACTTTAAGATAATCTTAAAGCTATATAAAATATGATAAAATTCTACAAATTAAATTGGTGCTGCAAAACAAGACGATCTTAATTGATTTTTTTAATTAAATTTATTTGTTTTCAGTTATTTATTATGTGTTAAGTATTTTAAACCAAAAAAGTTTTTTTTGCCAAAAAATGGACTCAAGATAGTTTTGTTTATGGACAAGGATGTCTCCTAATTTTTTTTTATAGGACATAAGATATTTGAATTATATATATATATATATATATATATATATATATATATATATATATATATATATATATATATATATATATATATATATATATATATATATATATATATATATATATTGCAAATTTTTTTGCTTATCTTTATAGCATATGGCTTTTTTAGAAAAAAAAAAAAGGAAAAGAATGAAGAATTATAAAAAAATAAAGATTGCTGCTCTAGCCCAAACCCTTAGTCGATGTAATGACACCTCTTTCCAGCAGCAAGCTATCTCAGTTTTATATCACACTGCCTAATTAAACACACTTTTATACATAGCGTGAATAGCGTACCTAAAAATTAGGTCGGCAGAAAATTTATAAACAAGGTTCAACAAATCAACAAGCATTACTTATATAGACCTTTATTTAAATTCAATGGTCTAAAAATTTTGAAATTACAGAGTTTTTACATATATATATATATATATATATACACTGCCGCTCATAGAAGTTAGGACAAAAAATATTTTTATGAAAGAGCAATATAATTATGTTATAAAATTATTAATATATATTAATAAAATTTATGTTTATATAAAAATAAAGCAAGTTAAACAAAATTTGTATAAAAAAATTCTAAGTTAAGTTATTTTAATGTAAATAGAACATGCAAGTAAAAGTTAAAATATGATAAAAAGTTGCTTAAAAGTCTTATCGTTTTAAATTAATAAACAGAGAAACATATTAAGTTCATGTATGAACCAGTATTTTATATTATCGACTCAAACTTTTTAAGTTTGTTGTTTAACTAATATTTCTTTTGTTTACTGTGTTTTTATATGCAGATATTTTGTGTATTTTGTGTAAGTTTTTTAAAATTTCAAGTGCAGAAGTTCAATGGTGAAATTAGAAAATATTTTTAGTGTGCATTCAAAATATTGAAAAAAAATATGCCTAAAGATAAGTCAATAAGTGTAGAAAAAAAAGCAGTAATACTTACTTTGCTTCAAGAAGACTATACAGTATGAAAAATAGCTAAATAATTAAATCTGAATAAATCAACGGTTAGTTATACAATTCGTCAATATCGAGAATCTGGAAGTTTAAAAGACAGAAAATAGCCAGGTCCTTTGACAAAATACTCGAAAAGTTGTAAGCTTTGGGTCAGTAAAACATGAAGATGGGAGAGAGTTCCAAAGAGTTAAAGTGCAGGGAGAAAAATAGATGAATAAAAGTTTTTAGAGCATGCAGGAACAGATACAATCAAAAAATGAGACTTCGTTGAATGAGTCAAGCAAGAAATTTTAGTTGATATAACTAAAAAGATGGTGGCTCCTTTGAACAGCGATTATTTGTAGAAAAGAAAAATAGATGCAACTTTATGACTTAAACTAAATAAAAAACTAAACTTGCGGTTTAAGCTTCGCAGATAGAGCAGGTCTAATTACGTTTACAATGCATTTTTGGACTTTTTTTAATAAATGAAATTTTTATTTTATTTTTTTATTTTAAGTAAAACATTAATTTTTATTTTTTTATTTTAATTGTTATATTAAGGTGGTACTACCATGTTAAAATCAGCAAAACAAAAAATTTTCAAATTCAAACAGTTTGAACATCCTAATTCACAAGAACCATTTTATTTTTCTTCAAAAAATAACAAAGTAACAAAATTTGTATTCAAAGGCAAGATTATATTGTTCCAATATATATATATATATATATATATATATATATATATATATATATATATATATATATATATATATATATATATATATATATATATATATATATATATATATATATATATATATATATATATATATAATATATATATAATATATATATAATATATGTATATATTAATATATATATATAAATATATATATATATATATATATATATATATATATATATATTAATATTATATATATATATATATATATATATATATATATATATATATATATATATATATATATATATATATATATATATATATATATATATATATATATATATTAATATTATATATATATATATATATATATATATATATATATATATATATATATATATATATATATATATATATATATATATATATATATATGTATATATTAATATAATATGTATATATATATACTAGGGTCAGCCGAAAATTTTTTTTTTCTGATTTTTGACTCGCTATACCGCAAAAAACTTCTTTAGGGTACCTAAGGATAATGCAAAACAAAAATATTAATAATGTTTTAGGTCTGAAGCTAGCGCATTATGCTTGAATAATCGAAGTTTTCGATTTTTAAAATTTTCTAACAAATGAAATGAAACTGAATAAATTCTTTAAAAATATCTAGAGACAATTTAAGTAGAAAAAAGTATTAGAATGGTAAATAAGAAATCTTTTTTATTTATTAAAAAATCATCTTTTTGACTAAAACTTTTTTAAATAAATATATTCTTTTACTTTTCGCTAATTTCGCTAAGTTTAAAATAGGATTTGCTTGAAAAATTAGGCATTTAGAATCTGGAGTTATGTGTAGTTCTTATAATGCCATCTCTGGAATTGAAGCCAGCTACTTTTTGTGAAGCCTCTGTTACAAGCTTTACACATCATTCTACTGCTTGAGTGTGACATGGAAACTATTCAAAGTTCCACTCAGCCGCTGTTTCACCTGATTGGATTTTTGACCAAATATCTTTATCTGAGACTCTTCGCAGCAAAGGTGGCTGCAAAAGCGTAGTAGTGTTCCAGTCAATCATTTCTGTATATCGGTAGCAAGGAAATTAATTTTGGGTGGTTGAAAACTCCTGATAAACTTTCTTTGAGAAGCTAGGCTTCTTAGTTCTTCTAAAACTCAATTCCCTAATATGAACCCATTTCTCTACTACCATTGTAAAAAGCAAGTTTTCTAAATGTGCAAAAAAAGTGTCTTTCTCACAGGCCTTCTCAGGAGACGTGTGCGGTCGCACACCTTGAATGACCATGCATATATATTTTTTTGTTGATAACATGGCCACGATTTTTTTTGCATTTATTAAAAATGACGCATTTTAAAAACGCGCTGAAAAAATCAAACTAATTAGTCATCTTATTGGTTTTTTTTATTAATAATAATTTATTATTATAATTATTTATGAGAAAATAAAAACCTAACAATAATGCCCATATATATATTTGTAATTAATGATAAAATAAAAAGATTAAAATAATATATAAATATATATATATTTTTATTTGTTTTTATGCATTTAATAAAATTCTGGCGATTTTTCGTTAAGCTTTTGTTTACTAAATGAATTATGTCATTAAGTAATTATTATTTCTTCCTGTTGGCTTGACAAGGTTTTAAGTGAAACTTTTTATATAAGGAGAATTAAAAAAAAAAAACTTTTTTTTTTTATATGTATTAAAATTATTTATTTTATTGTTTTTTTGTTTGTTTATGTACTATTATTTTGGTTGACATATAGATGTTTAGAAAAGATTTAAATATTTAAAAATTTAACTTAGCAGCATTATAAAAATTCAATCTTATAAAAATAAAGCAATACGCATAAACGTAAGAAGTGTAAATAAAAACTTCGTCAAACCAATTACTCAATTAAGTATTAATAAAGATGTAAAACTAAAATATTTTTCTGAAGTTGCTCTTGGTCTTGCGAAAAAACTATTTCCAGTTTGATAACTTTCATGAATGTTATGAAAAATCACTCAGTAAGAGTGCCACCAGTTTTTAAAAAATTTCTTTGTTAATTTTTTTTAATGAATGAGTTCAATACTTATGCAATTCTTTTGTTACATAACTCTTAATTATAGATAAGATAACTGCTCGATTATGTAAGTGATGTAATTTAAGTAAAAAAAATACAGTATCAAAAAAACAAGTTTATTTAAAAAAAGTTTTTATAAAAATTTTAAATTGGTATAGAATTATCTGCATTTTGTAAAAGTTTCTAATACAAACTGCTTTACTGATTCGCAGAAATGAGACCTATAAGTTGAATTTGTTTTTTTACCTTGTTTTCTGTGTAACATAAGTGCAAGTGGCATTATTAGTAATAAGTTTGCTTTCTTTTGGCTGAACTCAAAACTTTTAAGCTTATTTTATTTATTAGACTAACAGCTTTCATACAAAATTGCTTAAAGTTTAATTTAAAAGATTAAATAAGCTAATATTTGGTAAAGTTGTTGCGCGTGTAACGTAAGTTAAAAATGGAATTGCCCATATATGTTATTTTAATGTTTTTATTTTCTCATTAATAACTATAGTAATGAATTATTAATAATAATTAAAAAAAGATGAGCAATTAATTTTGTTTTTTCAGCGCATTTTTGAGATGCGTCATTTTTAATAAATGCAAAAAAAATCGTGGCCATGTTATCAACAAAAAAAATATATGCGTGGTCATTCAAGACGTGCAACCACACGCCTCTCCTGAGAAGGCCTGCTCTCAATTACTGGATCTATAACTTTTAGCAAATCTTGATGGTTTTATCATTTCAAATACATGTTCTGCTCCATTTGTGAAGCATTTACTTTTTTTTATATGAAACTATATAAGGACATATGATTTTAAAAGAAAAAAAAAAGATTTTGTTTCTTCTTTTAAGGTTTCAAGGCTCAAATACAATCATAAAGTTCTGTTTGCAGTTGCAGTTAAAATTCTGTTTGCAGTAAATTCCTTGAGTGTGAAATTGTTTCAGGTTCACGAACAGATAAATCTTCAAAACAATTGCCTGATTTAATAGCAGAACTTATATTCAACAAGAACTGCTGATCTTTGCTTAAAATTTTGCAGTCAATTTCTGGAATTTCTGAAAACAATCGACACTGACAAATTTTACCACTGGTAGTTTCTCACCCTTACTAAGCTGTGTGCGGATTGGACCGCTAAACGATTTTGGGCCTGTCGTTTCTTCATGTAACATTTGAAATAAATGCCGGAATGGCAATACGTTGAAGTTTTATATTTTTTATTGTGGGAATAACATCGAATTTCCATCCCTTGTTAGTAACAGTGCCATTGCATCTGATTAAGTCCAGTTTATGAAATGAAAATCCAGCTTCATTCAAATATGAAATAATGATACTGGCAATATTTTCAGCAGACCCAGGTTTGGTGAATAATGACCATCGTACATGAAACCTGGTTCTTGTAAAATTGAGTAATGTTTGTCTTTTATGGTTTGTTGAAACCATTTTAATTTAAGTTTTTCAACCACTAGAGTTTTGTCCTTCTCCCATCAAAATGTAGTCCGTGAAGTGGGTTATTTTTCCTTGCTCTGCATTTGAAGTTGTGAATGGTTATCCACTTTTGCTCTTCTAGTTTTATTTTTTTAACAACAAGACTGTGATCATAATTGGTTCCAATACCAAAAATTTTTTTTTCTTTTTCACGCTTACAGATAAATGAAACAGAATGCTTGCATTCACAAATTTCAGTGACCATTTTACATTTGCAGTCGAATGTTATTTTACACTTACACATCAAGACATCAAACGATAACAATGATTTTTTTTTTTAAATCTTCAACTCTTTTTGAACTTTCCTTTTTTTTTATCACGCTTGAAGGATTTCATAAGATTGCTCATAATTACTGTCATGGTGTCCATTTATTAATTGGACAACTCTGTAAATTGTTACTGTGGGTATTGAAGCTTTATCAATCACTGATTTAACTTGTTGTGTGACACAATTTGAAACATAAGAAAACTTAACTGACTTGTTCTTAGAGATACCCTCGACGCATGTTGACTGCAGTATAGCGAATCAAAAATCATGAAAAAAAAATTTTCGGCCCACCTTAATATATATATATATATATATATATATATATATATATATATATATATATATATATATATATATATATATATATATATATATATATTTGTATGTGTGATTTATTACATTTTGTAGATCATTAGAACTATGCAGCTCTCAAAAAGATATTCTGCTGAAAGGTACACTACCTTCTTAATTTGCTTGTGTAATTTTTGAAGGGGACAAACTACGAGAGATAGTTATGGTTGATTGATAAGGAAAGATATTAAAAATAAAATGTTTTCAATTAAAGTATTCTTTTTTTTTAAACTATTTTCTTTTAATATAGTTGTTGTTTTATGTTGCAAGTTTCCTATTGATCCTCTTCGTGCAAAGGTAATCTTTATAATACATAATAATATTATGTAATAATATGATGTAATACTACAACTTTCTTTTCAAATATGTTGAAGTTTTGCTGTTTAAATCAAAAAATATTATTATTACTAGCTGTCCAGAACCCCACTATCACTATAGAAACCACTCTTAATACTATTTAATTTAAAAAAAAAAAACTTTATAAAATGGCAAATAAGTATATTTTTAGGTATTAAAGGTATTAAAGTTGCATTTAAGTATCTCCATATTATATATATATTATCAATATATATAGTATCTCTATCATGACATGCACAACTAATTTTTCCTGGTGTTTTGAATATTTTTTAGAAATTTTGGGTTTTTTAAAAAATTATCTTCCTTTTGTTTATAATTCTATATAATATCTTTATATATGTTATATATATAATATTTATAGAACTTCAAAAATGTTTCATTTTGTATTTTAAAAAATCAAAAGAGATTTAAACAAAAAGAAAAAGTGCAAGCATAAGGGTTTAACCCTGGTGATTAAGTTCAGAAATTATACAAGCTAACCACTTCAGCCACTAAGGCATATTGTTCGATAAAGGTTTTAATGCTATTTAATAAACAAAAGACTTAATAAAATAATTGAAAAATAAATACTATAAATCAAAATAAAGGAGATATTGCTGCAATGCAACTTCTCAGGTAAAAGTAAAACTACAAAACCTAATAAAATTTTTTATATTACATAATTTAAAGTTTACATAAGTTAAGTATTTATTTATAATAATATTTATATAATAGGTTTGTATAACTACTTTAAATAAAAGTATTAAATAGATTATTTTTATAATATTTTTTCAAAACTTTAGGTTTAAAAAAGTATAAATATAAACTTGAACTTATAGGCTCTCAGGGGCTTTTCTAGACCGTTTTCGACAGCGACAACTGTAATTTGGGTGCCGCCCAAATTAAACTTTGATGACCTTTATATATATATATATATATATATATATATATATATATATATATATATATATATATATATATATATATATATATATATATATATATATATATATATATATATATATATATATGTTTTTTACAGCAAACATTGTTATTTATGCAAAAAAACCCACCGATTTTCCATTAAAGTTCACCGGAATGAGGGGGTACTGCCGCCCAAATTTATTTCTTAGAATAGGCCTTGGCTCTATTTGGGAGGCTTTGCACAGTTTACTACAGTGGGATGTGATTCGGCAAAATTTGCATTAAATTCTTGTAATTGGTAATGCTATGTCTTCTGGGATGTGTAATACGACTAGATTATAAACATAAACAGCAAAGTATAAATAAAAAATTACAATTTATACTTTGCTATTGCATAATTCAATTAATTTTAATTTTTTTTTTTTCATTTACTTAAAATTGTTTAAATATAGTTTAGAATACTAAACTATGTCTGATGAACAATGTCTGATGGATTTTGTGCAGCTCCTAATTGTCAGCATAAACAAGGAAAAAATGTTGATAAAGTGTCATTTTTTCGCTTTCCATGTCATATTTCATTATCCAAAACACATAAATAAGTTAATATCTATTTGACTATTTAAATAGCTATATATAATATATAAAAAGCTATTTATAATATATAAAAAGCTATATATATATATATATATATATATATATATATATATATATATATATATATATATATATATATATATATATATTTATTTATTTATTTATGGACTACTAATAGAAGTTTCTTAAAAGATTACTTTATCCTAGTTTTGGTCTCCTGGATATCAAACACTAGGAGTAAGTATTCTTTTTGTGACTTTCAAATCCGAAATCCTTTTTGGGACTTCGCATCCCTGATATGTATATATATATATATATATATATATATATATATATATATATATATATATATATATATATATATATATATATATATATATATATATATATATATATATATATATATATATATATATATATATATAAGGGTGGCCATTAAAACAATTTCTTTTTAAAATGTCTGCACCCTTTAAATGTGTTCTATATAATAAGATAATACTAAAATAAATGAAAATATTTAATAAATAATTAAAAAATAATTAAACTCAAAAAAAATTTTTCTTTAGCAATTCCAGCTTATTAACACGAAATTGACCTTTGAATTTATCATAAGTTTTGTTGTTTAGTGTCTATTAACATACATTTTGCACATGAAAATTTTTTCAAAAAAAAACAAGATAATTTAATTATTTTTCTCAATTACAAAATATTCATTTGTCCAAGATGGATTAAGTATATGACCTCCTATTCCACTTTCAGTTTCAACTCAACATTTATTAGCACTAGCAGAAGCCATATTTAAAAAAAATAAGTATAATTAGAGTTCCGCTAACCAAAAAGTCAATACCATTTTAACCGGTTTTATTGAAAGTGAGGCTGTAGTTTTAACCGTATTGCAATAAATTTAAAAAAAAAATCTGATTTTAAAAATTATATTAATAACTTTAATTAGCTGCCCTTTTCCTGTGCTGCAGTAAAAATAGTTTTAGAAACATAATATTTATTTGATTTTAAATATTAGATAGTGAAAATGCGAGCCACGACTAAAAACAATGAGGGCCACTGCTTTGCACAACCCTGCTGTATTTTTAAAGAAAATAATTTATTTTTAAGAAAATTAATTTATTTTTCATTATTACCTGATCTGTGGCAAGATATCAAATTTTCAAAATGTTCTCCTGCAAAATGTCATTTGCACTTTTAAATTGACCAATTGCCACAGATATATATATATATATATATATATATATATATATATATATATATATATATATATATATATATATATATATATAAATATATATATATATATATATATATATATATATATATATATATTTTTATATATATATATATATATATATATATATATATATATATATATATATATATATATATATATATATATATATATATTTTTATATATATATATATATATATATATATATATATATATATATATATATATATATATATTATAACCACTTATTGTCACAAAAATCATCTTCTTTAGGCCATATATATGATCTTTGTTTGCAGGATTCTTTGCAATTTGACAGCATATTTTATTCTCATGAATTAAATAAAATATCAAAAATGAAAAAAATCGTCAAGTAGTGAAAAAGAAAATTAAATAAAATAATATAAGTTTAATTATGGAATTAAAAATGACACAATAACAATTGAATTAAAAATCACAATAGCAACCAAAAATCATTACAAACCAAAAATCTATTATCAATTTCAAAGTTATCCCATGTTATTATATCCCATGTTATTATATCCCATATAACATGTAACTAATATGTACTCAAATATTTTTGAATTTTTTGATAAAAAAAACAAAACAAATGTAGACATAAAAACAAATGTAGACATAAAAACAAATGTAGACATAAAAACAAATGTAGATATAAAAACAAATGTAGACATAAAAACAAATGTAGACATATTCAAAATCAACAAAATTAATACTCATTATTTTTACTCTGATAAAGTTTTCTCAAAAAATTTAAAACATTAAATTCATTCAAATATTTGTAAAATATCATTAAACAATATTAAACCAGTCTTTGAATCTTTCACTTTGAAAATTTGCATCAAAAATATATTATCGTGACCACTACATACTGACCACCAAAATGAAGCTTTAACAATTTGTCAACCAAGAACCAAGAGGCTGTATGTCTATCTTTTGTGTTTCCGAAACAATCACGTTTTAAAATTTAATTTGTAGAGGTTTTCTGCCAGAATGTCTGACTAACTTTTTAAATATTTTCGATGATTCTCGAAGGCTGTCATTCTGCAATTCTTGGTGGTGGTCACTTTGGTCGAGATAAAACATTAGAAAAATCTCAGAGAGGTACTACTGGAAAGGGATGGTAAATGATGTGAGGAGTTTTTGTAAATATTGTGATAAATGTCAAAGAGCAAACAGGTATGTTTGTTAAATAACTTACTTTTTATATACTAAAAAAATTAAGTTTAAAAAATTATTATTTAATAATTACTAAAAACAATAACAACAATTATAATTGTAATTAATAAAACTACAGGTATTATTAATAATCCTTATAGGTATTATTAATAATAACTTAGAGATAATATATTATCTAAACATACTTGTAAAAATTCATTCAAATATTTGTAAAATATCATTAAACAATATTAAACCAGTCTTTGAATCTTTCACTTTGAAAATTTACATCAAAAATATATTATCGTGACCACTACATACTGACCACCAAAATGAAGCTTTAACAATTTGTCAACCAAGAACCACGAGGCTGTGTCTATCTTTTGTGTTTCCGAAACAATCACGCTTTAAAATTTAATTTGTAGAGGTTTTCTGCCAGAATGTCTGACTAACTTTTTAAATATTTTTGATAGTTATATCATTCTTGAGACAAAATTTATTGGACACATACTCCTTTTATTGTTGAATATTTATTGATAATGAACAAAAAAAACACAATATATGGACATATGGCCTCTTGGTTCTTGGCTGATGAATTTTGAAAATCCCTTAAATATGTATTTTTAAATGTGTGAGGAAAAAAACAACAACAAGAAAGTACAATTTTATTTTATGGAGACTATAATGTGGCTTTTTAATATTATGGTTATGCCTTTAATAATAAGCTAACAAGCTATATATAAATAATATATAAATAATAAGCTAACAAGAATTATACAAAACTGTTATTCTGCAATCAACATTTTCACAAGTACCTTTCATTGCGCAATTAAATCTGGCGTTATTGAAAGTTCTATTGTACTCTATATAAAGCATCAAACGTTATGTTTACTGAGGACACTTTAATTTATGCTTACAATAATTTTAGTGCTCATCTTTTAAACACTGATAAATTTAAATTTTCTTTATATTTTTTTAAACAAAATTTTCAATGTATTCCTTTACCATCTTTACCAATGTTATTTATACATTTTTTATTTTGTTAACAAGATTTTTTCTTTAGCTTCCTCTATCTCCTAATTATTATATATACTAAAGTATATTTTTTATTTAGTGTTTTCAAAATATTTTCTAATTTATTACTAGTCATAAATAAATAGCAGCAATTTAAATAAAAAAAAAAAATTGAAATTATTATGTATAAAAATGTATGTAAGCTTAAAAATAAGGATTTACTAGATACGATAAAAACCTCCTGTTTACGTCAGTTATGCTAATTATTTTCATTGGTTAAGTTTTTATTTGAAATCTTTGTGTTTTCTCTATTATACTTTTATTTTAGGTATGGGCTGACAAAGGAAGTAAACTATGTCCAGGTCATCCAGCCGTTTTTAACCTAAAGGTAGACATATAATGTTCGATTTATGATGTACAGTGTTTTAAGTGTTATTGTACAGATGCTTTATGTCTTTAACAATGCGATGGATTGTGTTTGAGATTGCTACATGATAGATTGTGTTTAAAGATTATTATAATTAGTTACACATGACATTTGACTTAAGATGAGTAGAAACAAAAACCCTAAAAAAATCATAAAAAAATCCATTTGATTTTGTTGCTATAAATTTTGATATGAATTACTTCAATGTCTGTAATTGCTGTCATTTTTTAATATAACACATTTAATATATTTTTATATAATATACTTTTATATAGTGCATATTTATATATTACATATTTTATATATGTACAAAAATGATTAAAAGGATATTTTACTAGCAGTTTGCTAAAAAAGAAGTCAAGCATCAAGCATTTTGCTAAAATGAAAATTACAGTATGTGGAAAAATCATCTAAGGAAGATCATATCAACCAGCTGTTTAAAGCAATGAATAATTATTTAAAATAAATTTATAATTTATAAGTATCATTAAAAATATATATATATATATATATATATACTAGAAACATCATGTGCACAGGAATAGAGTCTATTGGATCTGTTATTACAAGAAGGAAAGTTTAAGATTTTTGTATTGTTGATCTAATATTGAAAAAATGTTTAAGATTTATTATTTGTCTAATATTGATAAATTTTAAGAACAATTTTTTAAAGAAAATTACTTTTAAGATTTATCTTAAAACTTTTTTTCAACCTTTTTTAAAGATTCTTTTCTTCAACCTTTTTTGAAGATTCTTTTAATTCACAGTGAAAAAAAGAAAATTTTTTTTAATTCAAGTGAAATAGTTTAAACTTTTTTTTTTTGTAAATGTGTTTTATTTCTTTTTTTTCTTTTAGTGGCAATTACTTTCTCAAGAAAAGTCAAAGAATTATGATGAAATGGAACTTTTATTGTCTGATGAGCTGGTAATTTTAATTTCATAATATTAAAAGCACTTTTGAGGCATGCTTTCTCTCTCTCTCATATATATATATATATATATATATATATATATATATATATATATATATATATATATATATATATATATATATATATATATATATATATATATATATATATATATATATATATATATATATATATATATATATATATATATATATATATATATATTTATCAGGCTTTCCCAGGAAAGGGGTGCGGTCGCACGCCTTGTTTGTCCACGCATAGAATAAATTTTTCTGACTAACTGACCACGTTTTATTATTATGCGTTTCAAGGATTCGCGCCAAAACAAAGCTAAACGAAAATACCGCAAAAATGCAAGCAATCTTAAAGTGAATAACAGAAATCTGTTTGTGCTTTAAAATTAAAAAATTAATGCATATTATTAAAAAAAAAATTTACCTATAATTTATTTATTTATTTAGGGTGGTAGTTATTTAAGCTATGAAAAATCAAATCAATAAGAAAAATCAAATCAAAAAGAAAAAGATTAATGCTTAAAGAAAATAAAAGGACCTTTTAATGTAAAATTTGTTTATGACTTTTATCAGTCAGTAATACTTTAAAATTCACGATAGAACTATAAGCAATTTTGAAATGTTTCGTAAATACATTTAAATGTTTAAATGTATTGATTTTAATGTTTGAATATATTGATACGCAAGAAAACACAAAAACGATTGCTATTTATTAGTAAAATATGTTTTTTTTTTTTTTTAAATGAAAGAAAATGTTATTGTCAAACGATTGAGTTGCTTATTTTGTGATCATTAGTTGACATTGTGAACGAGTGTTAATATATAATAATGTCCCGAAGGAACTGTTTTCGTAACAATGACAACAGAAGCAATGCAATTATTTTTTTAACTTCTTTCGTAATTACAAAATTATTCGATTGAATAATTTCAATGTAATAAAAGGCGAGCATTGACTCAGTAAAATCAGTTTAGAATAAGTCGAGAACTTTTTTCACATTAAAATTTTGTTATGTTTAAAATCTCAAATAATATATTTAATAATTAAAACAGCAATTTATTTTCTTGTCTAAGTATTGGGGAATAAAGTCATTGCCTTTGCATAAACCTTCGTAAAAACTAAATTAAATGAAAAAGTTTGACCAAATTTGTCTAGCGTAAATAATGAATCAATTTTTTAATACATTGTCTGATAAAGTTCGTGAATAAATTACGTATCAAGTCTTTTTATTTTCGTAAAAACTTTATGACTTATCGTCGTCTTTTCCTTGACTTGTATCAAATTTCGTAGCTGAAAATAGCAACCCTAATAAAAGAAAACAAAAACAGTATAAAATTTTGAAAAAAATGTTCAAGACTTTTTTTTTTGTTACAAGAATTTTTTTTTTTTAATTTTTTTTTATTATCGAAATATTTTTCTTACATCCAATTTCAATTTTATACTTTGTTTAGACTTTGTTTCATTTTTTAAATATTTTTTATTCTCTATGGATAATTTCTGCTTTCTTACGAAATATTGCCATGGTCACATTTTCTGAAAAATTTATTCTATGCATGGACAAACAAGGCGTGCGACCGCACGCCTTTCCTGGTAAAGCCTGATATATATATATATATATATATATATATATATATATATATATATATATATATATATATATATATATATATATATATATATATATATATATATATATATATATATATATATATATATTTGAATAATTTTAAATTGTATTCTAAAAAATAGAGTGCTCAATATTCTTAAAAAAACAGAGCAATAATAAATTAATAGAAAATCATTTAACAATTTTGTTTTTATTCAACACTGTGTTACAACAATAAAAACTCATCAGAAATCATTTATTATGTATTTATCTATAAAAATATATATGTGTATATACATATATTTATATATATATTAGGCCTTCCCGGGAGGCGTGTGTGGTCCCATGCCTTGTACATCTATGCTTAAAGTAATTTTTTCATGCTTCATTCATTTGCATGCACTTTGCAAATGTATAAAAAAATGTTTTGAAGAAATAAAAATTAATTAAGTTCAATAGGCATCATTGGTATATCTAAAATTTTAAAAGAAAAACGGAAGGAAAAGTTTTATAAAAACATTCAATTAGATATAAAATCCCTGACTGCACATTAAAAACAGTTCCAGTCTGTAAGAAACTTTTATGTCAATTACTTGTGATGGAAGAAAAAGATTGCAAAATATTTTGAATTACTTTTATAAAAATGGGTGAATGCGACCAGAAATTTGTAAAAGTTATAAACAATCTGAAAATGATAGAGAAATAACTAACTCCATAGTAGATTTTATTAGCTTCACATTATGGCAGAGGAAAAAATGTCAGACTATATCTTCCACCTGAACTAAGTATTGTGAAATTACTGAAAACAATTTTTAGAAATCAAAGTAATATTTCATTGCTTTCAAAATTTAAGAAAATTTTTTACCAAAAATTTACTATTGGATTTGGAAATCCAAGAACAGATATCTGTTCATTTTGCAAAACACAAAAAGAATTGCTAAAAAAAAACAATTGAAATAAAAGTAAAGACAGGTGAATATGTTATATATTGTTTGCACTTATTAAGGGCAAAAAAGTTTTATTATCTTATTAAAGGAAAAAAATGAAAAAATTATTATTGTTTACTTCGATATGCAACCAAATCAACCAATACCCAAACTAAGTGTAAGTGAGATTTTTTTTCTCAAAAAATTTGGCTTTACAATTTAACATTTGTTCGACATGATGAAACAGCTAAAAATAAAGAAAACATATTTCTTCACACTTAATAACTCAGAACGGTAAAGGATCTAATGAAGTGTCTTCAGCCCTGATTCACTACTTGTCTAGCTTAGAAAAAGAGTTAATGAATCAAAAAATTAAACTTTAATTTTCAGATGTTTGTTCATCACAAAACAAGAACTCTTTTTTGTTGTTTGTAAAATTTTTCAGAAACTAGTATTATGTTTGCTGTTGTAAAACATTTTTTTCCTATTAGAAGTCATAGTTTTTTACCTCCTGATTGAGTTTTTTTGTCATCGAATAGGTTTTACGCAAAAAGGAAATTATTATTTCTCCTTCAGAATCTTACAAAGATTTTGCAGATCATGGAACTGTCCAAAAATTAGGAGAGGACTGGTTTGTAAAAGATAACCATAAAATGGCTAAGTAGATTCTAAAAAATAAACTACCGTTTCCAATAAGGGATCAGATAATTATAACTTGTGTGCAAAACAATTCTGCAGATACTGATTTTGTTTGTAATTATTAAAAAAAAAAAATAGCTTTTTAGCAACATGAATGAAGCAAAAAGAAAACCATTTGAAAATAAAGGAAAAAAAGCAGATGTGAAAAAGTTGATGGTTTTTTTTTGAGGTACCTGTGTCGGTACCTCAAAAAAAAACCATCTTATTGCCGACACTTACCATGTAAAGTAGATAAATTTGATGAGAATAAACCATTTGTTTAAACTTAATGAAATGTTTTATTCAATTTTTAAGTTGGTATCCTTATAATTTATGTTTCAATAAGTTTGTTGTAGTTTTATTATCGTAAGATCAAATAATCATATGTAAGCTGAAATTTTCAAAAAACTTTTTAACAGTTATCTAGTAGTTAAATTTTATTTGAATATTGTTATTTTATTATTATTGTTTTTAAGATTTTATTGGTTACAGTAATAAAATCATAAAAACAATTTGTAAAAATCTTTTTTTTTTCCAAATATGCTTTGACCACAAAAATATATTTTTCCCTAAAAAACAATGATTTATGTATCTTCTGCAAAACCTCTCACATTTCAAAGAATTAAAGTTATTTAAAAAATAAAAAAACTTTATTTAAATCACAATAAACTAATTTTATTTAAATCACAATAAATTACTGAAATTAAAAAAAATTATGCAAAAATAATTAATATTTAGTCAGATTTTTTTTTTTTTTTTGTTTACTCAAAGTATGTAAAATGTGATTTTTTTCTAAGTTCTATTTTACATACTTAACTATAAAACGCTCATTTTACATACTTTGAGTCACTCAAAGTATGTAAAATGAGCATTTTTCTAAAAGGTGCTACCTTTTAGAAAAATGCCCTTCATTTGTAATACTGCTTCTAAACAACTGCTAAAAAATTATTCCTGGCAGAAAATATTTTTTTAAACACGTTTTTTTTTTAAAAAAAGATGCTTTAATTTGGATTTCCTCACATTACTGATTTGATTCGTGATTTGATTCGTAAATCAAGACCTGCTTCGATTCAAGATTAGATATGTAACTAAAAATGTCGATTCACAGGACCCTAATAAATATACATTTATTTATATGTTAAAAAAAGACTTTTACCTACATCTGTAATTTCATCCTATAGAAAAACTGTTTTATATTTTTTCATGAAAACTTGTCTCGTAGTGTTAATACATAAAATTATAGCGATTTGATAATAAACCGATAAAATAATTTTATTAAGATTATTTTTCCAAGCAACATATACTGCTTGAGTAAATAATTTTATTAATATTAACAAAAAAAAAGTAAAATCTTGTTTGTACAAATTTTATGACAAGAACAATCGTATATTGTTTGTAGCTAACCACTTCTTGGCTTTAGGTTGCACCATATTAACTATTATAAGTGGCATATCTGATTCCAAGTATCAGGAAAGCCACTTGAGAGAATAGGAAAGAGGTCAAATACTGTTAATTTTAACACTCTAAAAAAAAAAGTCTATTTTAAAAAATTTTAAAATACAAAATACTTCATTAAAATACTTTATTATACAAAATTTTAAAAATATTTAAGTTCATGACATGAAAAATTTGCTAAAAAAAGCAGTAAAAAAAGTTTGACAGTAGCTTTAAATCCCAATAGAGCAATTAGTCAATTTTATGCTATTAATGTACAAAAAAAAAATTGAACAGAATGTTCTTGGTTATGGAAATGAGGTTATTTTAAAGTTTAGTTAATAGCTATATTTCTTCGAAAGACTGGACTGCTCATGAAATGACCATTCATAATTATTAAATGAAATATCTTAAAAAAGTTGTTTGATTATGTTTTAGATTTTGTGTTTATTTCAATTTTTTGGATATTTTATTATTAAATTGCTTTTTTATAATAAAACAATTAGTATTATAATAAAATTATGTGTATGCATATTTAAAAAAGTTTTTTCTTGTGTTTTATTATGTTCTCTTTTAGACTCGGAGGGCTCGTGAATCATCTTTACATATCAAACTTGTCAAAATGTATCTGGATGCAGGTACAACTCATGATATTTTACAAAAATATTTTAGTAATTATTTATCTTTTATAATTTTTCTTATATAAATAAAGTTTACAAATTCACAATCTTTTAGAGTTATATGAACAAGCATTTCAACATTGCATATCAGTCCAAAAAACTAGTGTTTTTGATCATGAAGTTGATTGGTTAGAATGTATTTGTGAGACATTTGAAGTATATAAAGATATTAATGGTAAGTTTTTATTTTGAAACTAACACAATTTAAGTATTATCATGATCACCTTTGTAACATGTAATCCAGTAAAACCTGCTCAGAAGGGTATTTAAACTCAACTCTGAGTTTAAATACCCTTTCCCTTGAGACTATTCATTAATGAGATACATAATGTTCTGACACTGATTTTTTTATTACAATGTTTCTGATGATGTTCTAGAAAAAGTCCGACTGTGACTAAATTAATATCTTCAATTCAAAAGTCTTTTAACTGTCTTTTTAACTTCAGTTAAAATGAAAGTTGAAAAGATATATTATATATTATATATGTTATAGATATTTTAAGTTCACTAGATTATCTTAAAATATATTTAGGTAAAGAAAAGAAATTTTAGTAAAAAAAATTGAATTTTTTAAAATTATTTTGAAAAAGTTAAAATAAAAACCTTAAATTTTAATTTTTTGTTAACAAATACTGTAATAAATCTAAAATTGGTAAGCAAAATATACTTTTCGAAATTTCTACTGATTAACTTTTATTTGGTAATATTAGTTTTAAATAGTCTTGGTGGTTCAACCTGTCAAACAATCAAGTTAATTGAAAGCAAAACTTTAGTGTATATTATATAACTGATGAATTTCCTAAGCTTCTGCAAGTAGCAATGGTTTGTTTTTTAGATGATCAGAAGATAGTATCTTTACTGCATTATGCTCAGTCTTTGGTTAAACTATTACCTTTGCATCTAAAACTGTCAGATATACCATCATGTGAAAAAGCATTAAGAAGGTGTTTGTTTTAAATTACATTTTATTAATAGACTTTCATTCTTTTGTACATTTTATTAGATTAATAAAGTTTAACAATACATTTTTTTTGTAGACTTGACAGCTTTTATAGTGATCTGCGAAATACACCGATTAGCATAACTGAACATGCTGTTGAATTTTTTTTTGTAGACTTGACAGCTTTTATAGTGATCTGCGAAATACACCAATTAGCATAACTGAACATGCTGTTGAATTTTTTTTTGTAGACTTGACAGCTTTTATAGTGATCTGCGAAATACACCAATTAGCATAACTGAACATGCTGTTGAACTAAAAGACTGCTTAAATGAAGTCAGAGGTCAACTTTATTTATTTGGTGCTGTATATTTTATGAAACTTGCAAAAGAGGTTTGATTTTTTCCTACTTACCTGGTTATGTTTTTTAACATTTTTTTTAAAGTTTTTTTTCTTTAAGTTCAAGTTGTTAATTTCACATTAAAAATTAACATAAAAAAATCAACATAGAAAAAGCTTATAGTTGTATTATTAAAATAAAGATTATATATTATGAAACACATTAATTCGAAAACGTGGACATTTGACATAATTGTTGCAGTTGCATGCTTTAGATTTGTTGGTTGTATATTTTGTCTTTGTTCCAATGATTATATATTTATTATTTCAAATATAAGTTAATTTTTGATTGTATATTGTGTTATTTTGAATCCAGATACTTTAATATTCAAATTTTGGGCCACTCTTTCAAAAGAATTTCCTTGAAAGTATGACTACTTCTTTAAAAATGATTAATAGCATTACTCTGATACAATTGTGTATTGATGGCTGTAAACTGGTAGTGTAAACTGGCTACTACTTAATATTCTTGAAAAGCAGCAACATCTTAACTTCCTTATATTCTTTATATGCAAATTCTCAATATTATGAGAGATTATGTTTAACTTAAATTTATTAGAAACTTATTAGAAAATCACCAAGTATTGCAAAACTCTTTTTAAAAATAGACAACCAAAATGCAAGAGTTATGAGACAGTCATAGAGACAACTAAAGATTAGAATTAACTTCAGCTAATTAATAAATATTTTATATATATATTAAAATATATTAATATATATATAATATTTTTGTATATATATATATATATATATATATATATATATATATATATATATAATATATATATATATATATATATATATATATATATATATATATATATATATATATTATAATATATTAATATATATAATAATATAATTACATGTCTTAAAAGTGAAACAAATTATACTACCACAGCAAACAGTTCAGGAGTCAGGAGTCATAGCATGCCATGACATGAGCAATCAGCTGACAGGTGACAGCACACAGGCAGAATTTCGTTGACAAGTGCCATTTTGCAGTGGACAAAACAAGTGCAATTTTTTTGGTTTGTTTCATTTTCTTAAGATAGCAACATCTATCTTAACTTCCTTATATTCTTTATATGCAAATTCTCAATATTATGAGAGATTATGTTTAACTTAAATTTATTAGAAACTTATTAGAAAATCACCAAGTATTGCAAAACTCTTTTTAAAAATAGACAACCAAAATGCAAGAGTTATGAGACAGTCATAGAGACAACTAAAGATTAGAATTAACTTCAGCTAATTAATAATAATTTTATATACATATTAAAATATATTAATATATATAATATTTTTGTATATATATATATATATATATATATATATATATATATATATATATATATATATATATATATATATATATATATATATATATATATATATATATTATAATATATTAATATATATAATAATATAATTACATGTCTTAAAAGTGAAACAAATTATACTACCACAGCAAACAGTTCAGGAGTCATAGCATGCCATGACATGAGCAATCAGCTGACAGGTGACAGCACACAGGCAGAATTTCGTTGACAAGTGCCATTTTGCAGTGGACAAAACAAGTGCAACTTTTTTGGTTTGTTTCATTTTCTTAAGTCTGGTCTGTGTCAACGTCACGGAAGTTTTTTTAATGATTAAAGGAAGTATCCAGAAGTTTCCAGAAGCATGCAGAAGCTTCCAGAAGTTTCTAGAAGAAGCATCTGGAAGCATCCAAAAGTATTCAGAAACATTCAGAAGCATCCAGACGCATCGAATAGAAGCATCTAGAATCTTCCAGAACAGGTTCACACAGGTTCATTTTACTATATAAGAGACATGTAAACCGACATGTAATTCAGTCAGTATATGGAAGTCAATCAGTCAGTTTTATCAAGACAGTTAATCGAAGTGAGTTTTATCAAAGTGTTTTATCGAAGAACATCAATACAAGAAGTGAAATACAACATGTGTTTCATTACATCAATACAGTCCACATCCAACCAAGACGTTGTGTTCCACAGAGCATTATTGTATCATCACAAGGTAAATATAACACGGTAAGCCTTGAGAAGCGTGATTATTTATTTTTATTATTTTTATGACTTCAAGTGCAAAAATGGCTCCCGACAGCCTTGGATTGGAACTAAGAAAGAAAATTATTGGCGATTATGTAAGTGGAATGTCACAAAAAAGTATTTGTGATAAATATCGCGTGAAAAAATGGACCGTATCAAGACTATGTTCAAATATCGTTCTACGGGAAAGTTGGAAGCAGATAACAAAGGTGGAAGACCGCGTTCCACTACTTCTAGAGAGGATTCTATGATCATCAGATCCATCAAGAAGGATCCCTGGATACCATCAGTCAAGATACAAAAGCAATTAGAGCTGCCTGTATTGGACCGAACAATCAGAGGACGTGCTGTTAAAGCCAGATTGTTTTCTCAACGCCCTGCAAAGAAACCGCTGATTTCACTAAAGAACTAGAAGAAAAGACATCTCATATTGACTGGAATGTGCACAAATGGCGAACTGTTTCGTTCAGTGATGAATCGAAGTTCAATATCATTGGGAGCAATGGCATTTGCCATGTACGTCGACCGGCCAGAAAACGCCTTGGTTTACGTTTTATGCCATAGCAAGACAGCAAGACAACGATCCGAAACACACTGCAAAAGTAGTCAAGCAGTGGTTTCAAGACAACAACCTATCGGTGATGGATTGGCCACCTCAATCTCCGGGTTGCAACCCTATCGAGAACCTGTGGGAGATTGTCAATCGCAGAATTAATTGTGAAGGTGTTTGTAATAAAGATCAACTGTTTGAACAAATCGAAAAGGCCTGGGCAACGATTCCACAAAGTTTCATTGATCACCTGATCGAATCTATGCCTCGAAGATGCAAGGCTGTGATCGACAACAAAGGATTCGCCACAATATTGCTGTATTTCGCTATCAATATTCGCCACAATATTGATAGCGAAATACAGCTCGGTCAACATTTTGTAAAGTTTTGTCCAGAAGGAAATCAACTTTTTTTAATACTTTTGATTAATTTATAAATTTTTGTATACAAATAATTAACTTTGCGATGAATAAAACTTTAAGAACGTTGTCTCTAAACAGTTACATAGTTATTTCTCTAAATTGAAAAATCACAGCACTTTTATATAAAGAAACTAAATTAGCATCATTTGGTTGCACTCGTTTTGTCCGATACTGTATATATTTATATATATATATATATATATATATATATATATATATATATATATATATATATATATATATATATATATATATATATATATATATATATATATATATATATATATATATAAACAGATGCCCCATTGATTCCATTTCTTTTTTAAGATTTGTTTTTAACTGCTAAAAGGGTTTAATAATCAAACAAGACTTCTTAAGCGTCATCATCATCAATGGGAGGCAACTTCAACAGTTTGATTTCAATAAAAAGTTGAATTTCAACTGTTAAAATTGATGACAATTGAATTTGCTGCAGAGTGCAACATGGAATTGAGAAGAAAGGATGTGTTATCTTAGGAAGTGATTAATAAATTTATGAAAGATTGTCATATTATCATTAGAATCCTTGGAAAAATATTCAAAATATTTTTTAAGTTATTAAAAGAAATTAAATCTTTTCTTTTTCCAGCATTTAAAAAATTGTGAGGAATTTATTATATCAACAACTTAGTGAAAATTCTCTTGTTGCATTATCAAGGAATTCATGGTATCTAACAAATTAAAGTTTCACTAAGTAGAAATAAACAACAAAATAATATAGACCATTTTAGTGCATGGTTGAAGTTTAAAACAACTAAGAAGAAAATTGAAAGTTGTAAGCAATGGAAAAAAAAAAATATTGCGATGGTACTGTTATATCATAAAGGGCATCTCTATTTAAAACAATTTAAAAATTATTTCACATTTTAGCTTTTATTTATTTTGAGTTTTTATTCATATTAAATTGGACATTATTATGTTTTCATGTTTTTATTTCATGACGCTTGTTATGTTTAATATTAGTTTTTATATGTTTCTTATATTATATCTGATCTTTTGGCTAATGTATAAATATAATAATAGAATAATAATAATGTTAAATAAAATGGTGAAACAAAATTAAAAATCTCATCTCGTGTTTACTAACGTTAAAAAAAGAAACATGAAAGAAATTGGGAAAATTCAGCAACAGTTCAACATTCAAAAAATTGGTAATTTTACATGAAACAATAATAGTAATCATAAAAATTAGTGGTCAATATTTTTTATCAGAAAAGTGAGAGGTACTTGAAATACAATGTCATAAGTGTGTACCTTCAGACAATGGTTTGAATGCGGATGGTAGAGGTTACAAGTACAAACTTGAATGCTTCGGCAAAAGATTTTATACTGATGAAGCAAAATTTAAGATCTCATCTCCTATTTACCAACATTGAAAAAATACATAAAAAGCGAAACATTCAAAAAATTGCCATGGTATTTTTGCATAAAACAATAATAATACTATAAAAGTAGAGGTCAATATTTTTAACAGAAAAGTAAGAGAGACACTTGAAATACAGTGTTATAAATGTGCACCTTCAGGCAATGGTCTGAATCCGGATGGCGGAGTTTACAGAAAGAATTCCAACTTTTAACTGTTTCGATTTTTGCATCCAAAGAATCTATTGTAATGATTTGCTCTTATATTGTTTTTTAATGGTTTAATGGTATGTGTGTGTGTGTCTATATATATATAGGGGCTGTCCATTAATTACGTCAACAATTTTTTGGGAATTTTTCCTCCCCCCTCCCCCTTGTCAACAACTTGTCAAACTTTCAGTGACCCCCCTATAAAATTATGTCAACATTTGATACCCTCCCCCCCCCCTCCAAAAAAAAAAAAAAAAAAAAAGGATAATAATAATAATAATAAAAAAATTAAGATGGAAAAAAAATGTTTTAAATTCACTAGTTTACAACTGAAGCAAA